GGCTGGATCCTTGTGAAAGCCCCCAAGCTTGTCCCCAGGAGGCCTGGGGAAGCAGGCGGGCTCCTCTCCAGCTGCCAGCCCCATCTCCAGGAGTCCTGGACCCAGGGCCTCTTCCAGCTGCCCAGTCTTGAAGGCCTAATTTGCAATGACTTAAATATGTTTTACATTCGAAAATATACTTCCAATGGATGTTTCACTGTGGGGAAGGACTGTAATGTGAAGTTAAGTACAGATAGTAGGTAAGAGCATGGGCTGTAGAGTTAGGAAAATTAGGGCTCTTCGCTGCTTTGCCGCACGCAGAAACTGTGCTAATTACAAGCAAGTTGCTTTATCTCTCTGGACCCATTTCCATGTTTGTAAAGTAGAAAGAATAGTTCCGGGATGCCTGGGTGGCTCAGTGGTTGGGTGTCTGCCTTCTGCTTGGGGCGTGATCCTGGGATCTGGGATAGAGTCCCATATTGGGCTCCTCGCAGGGAGCCTGCTTCTCCCTTTGCTGTCTCTCTGTGTGTCTCCCATGAATAAATAAATAAAATCTTTAAAAAAAAAAAAGAAATAATAGTTCCTACCTCCCCGTAGGGTAGAACTAAATAAGAAAAATGAATGGGAAGTGCTTAGCTCAAGGCTGAGCAGGCGCACAGTAAGAGTTTACTCACTGTTAAATAATAACAGTAACATTACCTCGTTTACGTAGTGTTTTGCAGTTTTCAAAGCAGGTGCCTGGACCAAAAGGAAGTTCCTGGAGGAGAGGAACCGAGACCCCACACCGCCCCGGGACCACAGGGGCAGAGGCACTGGTCCGCCGGTCCGAGACCAAAGAACTGGCCTGGAGCTCTGTCTGGGAGGAAGGCCCCCCAACGCCCCGCCCAGACGCTGGGGTTCCGGGTCCTGCCTGCACTCAGGTGAGAGCCGGCCTGAGCCCCGGGCGCCCCCTTGTGTCCCGTGGCCGCAGCAGCACGGTGGCAGCACCCAGACTCTCCCAAGGAAGACAGTCGCCGCTCACCTGGGAAGCCCTTGGGATACGGCCACAAAACAGGACTGATGTGACTTAAAAAAAGAAGGAAATGAGGGCCCCAAGCACACACATGGCCGCCCTAACGGAGGAGGAGATTGTGATGGGTGCTTCTGGGGAGCTGGATATGTTCTATGTCCTGTTCCTCGATCTTGGTGCCAGCTGCTGTAGGTGTTCATTTTATGGGTATTTGTTCAATTGTACACTTCTGTCTTGTGCACGCTTCTGTACGTGCTCTACTTCACGTTGGGGTAGGTTTTAACCAACTGGTAGGTGAGTGGAGAGAGGGAGTTAAGAGAGGTCAGCTTTGCACCGTGCAAGTGCCTGGGGGTGCTGACAAAGGTGTCCCAGTGCAGGAATGGGGCAAAAGAGCTGTCAGATAGAGGGCCAGGAGGGTGACCTGAGGGGACTTCAATGCACTTGCAGGTCCCAAAGGCTCCTGCCCTTCAGCTGTCCTCCCTCAATTCCCACCCTGGCAGGTGCTGCTCCGAGCAGCTGGGTGGGGGTCTATTGATGGCTCTGGGCTCTGCCCTTGAGGCGACATACTTCCTGGGCCGCTGCCTTGCACTTTCAACACCCAGCTGTCGCCTTGCCCTGGGCTCTGTCCTCTCAAAGTTGCTCCTCTACTTGGAAGCTGGGCCACCATGTCCCCTCACCCCTAGGGGGAAGGGTACCCCAGGCCAGGGCTCCATCAGGGACTCTCCCAGCCCCCAAATGGTTCATATGCTTTTAGGCCAGCTTGGTCTGGGTACAGCTAGGGATGACCTGAAGGGATTGGATGTGCTGGGGTGGGGGTGGCGCCATTGCTTGGGCCTGGGGTGCCCAACTGGGCTTGGCCCTGAGCCCCTGAGCAGCATCAAGCTGGCGCAAGTCCCCAGGCTGGCAGGCATTTCCACAGGCCCTGCCAGCACCCAGGCAGCCTGGCAGTGGCGGTGGGCATCAGCATTCATTTTGGCAGTAGCCTAGCAGGCACTCAGCCTGTACCTCCTGCATGGCCCCTCGTAGTCTGTGCCCACCTCCTGGGCCAAGCTTCCTGGCACCCTGTGGGGCAAGCCTTGCGTCTGGGTCTGTATAGGGGGCCATGGGCTCTCCCAAGTCTGAAGCAGACATCTCGGGCCCAGACTGACATAGGGCAGGCAGAGAGCAATGCAGTGTCTGGGGTGACTGGGCCTGCAGACCGCCTGGCTTCAAGTGCCAGGCCCACTGCTTAGGAGTTGTATCCTCTGAAGCATGTTCCTTCTCTCTGCCTGTTGCCCATCTGTGAAGTGGTGTGAGCAGCAGCTCCCCCAATAGTCCTGACACAGTAAAACTGTTAGTGTCATCATTTTACAGGAAAGAGAACAGGTTCAGGGAGATTGGGTTCCTGCTCCAGCATCCCAGACAGACAGAGAGGGTGTTTGAACCCAATCTGAATCTGAATCCAGCACCTAGCCTCGTAACCACAGGACCACTCTGAAGACCTCAATGAGGCCAGGGAGTGGGTGCTTGCAGTCATACGGTGGAGCAGGTGGCCCGGCAGGAAAGCCCTTCCCAGGGAATCTGAATAGATTATTCCAGATGTTCTGGGCTCTCGTGGAGTGGCCCCTGGCCCCTCCCAGCAGCCAGTCAAAGGTCCAGTCCTCAGCACTCAGTCACGGCTCTATACCAGGCAGGGAAAGCGGTGGGCTTATGGGGGGCTGCACTGGGGCACTGGGCCAAGGGGACCCAGTGGGAACAGGGAACAGGGGACCTTGTGTGTGTGTGCTGGGGGGAGGGAGAGGATGATGGTGGACACCATGGGCATGGCCGGGTGTGTACACATGAGTGTGGTTCTTGTGTGTGCAAACAGACTCCTGTGTTGCCCACTCCCCACTGTAGCGCTACCCTGTCAGCCAGCCTGACCTGGCAGGCTGCCCACCTTCGCCAGAGGTGCCAGGAGGGGCCTGCTGGGCAGGGGCCAGACCATCAACAGACAGGGTGTGGAGCCTTCTGGACTAGCGCCTGGGGGGCCTGAGTCACTGCTGTCCCCAGCCAGCTCGGTGGGGTTCGCTCCTGGCACTTCTAGGCCTGCCTCTTCTGTCTTCCCGTACTTGGCTCCTGGCCCGGGCTGCAGGCTCATCTGCCACCACCTAGAAACAAAGTGCTCACTGTCCCCATCACACCTAAGCAGTGCCCCCGCCATGTCCCCCAGAGTTAGAGTCACTGTGGCTGCAGCGGAGCAGGAGCTGGAGGTGACACGCGAGGGCCCTGCAGCAGGAGGGCCCCAGCGAGCCTTCAAGCAATGGCAGGGCTCCCTGGACAGGCTCCCTGTGAATCACCACCTCTCAGGGGAGGGAGGCTGGGGCCCACGCTTCTACTCAGAGCCTCAGCTGGAAGCCCAGGGTACCTCCTGGTGTGGTCCTGGAGTCTCCAGGGTTAGATTCGCCAATAGCCTGGCTCTTCTTGGACAGCTGACCTGTCAGACCTCGTCTCCTTCACTCTTGCTTCTCTACATGCCTCTGGAACTCAGTGACCTCTGCCCCCGGCTCTCTGTGTAACACAGTAAGTCATTCTGAGTCTCCCCTGTCAGCCACCCCCACATTTCTGGGCCTGGCTTTCCCTCCTGTCTCCAGTTGTATGTGGGCTGGGCCTGGGGTGCCTGCCTGCCCCTTGCCAGCTGCTGGGAGGGAATCTGAGCCCCCAAGGCCTGGCGCCAGGGCCCCAATCCTGACAGGGGTAGAGGAGCCTCAGGGGCCAGGTGGGGGCCTGTCCCGGCTGTCAGCACTCATGATAGATGAGGGGTGGGGCAGGAGAAGGCCAGGGTCTGGAGTCCTGCCACAGAGGGAGGTGGGGGGCCAGCCCCCTGGGTCTGCCAACAGAGCCTCTCCACTCACAGCTGGGGGGCCTGGGTGAGAGCCTCCACCCAGCAGGGGTGTTTAAAGGCCCAAAGGGTGTGTGCCCTCCCACTGCACTCGGCATCATGGGCACCTGGGCCTTCCCCACGGCCTTTTTCCTGCTCTGCTTGACTTCTGAGAGCCTACAAGGCGGTGAGGGCGGGAGGCGGGCAGCTGAGGTGGGGGCTGGGAGGTCGAGGTATAGCATTGGGCCAGTGCCAGGGCTCTGGAGAGGGGGTCGGGTGTGTGAGGTCTGGCCTGGGCAGGGTGTTGGGAGCTTAGGGATAGATGCCTAGGTTCTTCTCCCTCTCCATCTCTGGGGTCCCCACCCTGAGTCTGCACCTCCTTGCTCCCCAGGGCTACCTCTGTTGTCTCTGGGCCTAGGGAAAGGTAAGTGGTCCCTCCTGGCACTGAGGTCAAGGAAGAGGCCCTCATCTGTCCCCAAGGGTCTGGGAGATCTCTGAGGGAGGGCCCCAGATGTTCGCTAGCTGGTTCTGGGATCCAGATGTAGGGCCCAGGAGGGGTCAGGGTCCCTCGCTGACTTCATGGCAGACAGTCTTGTCCGTAGTCAGCTCAGGTGTGGGGAGTCTTTGGAACCAGGGTGAGATGCGCAGAACCCCAACTCCGGGCGGGAGAACACCCCAGAGGAGAGGCTTGGAAGCGGGTCTTCAAGGGGGCCAAGCTGTGACAGGGAGGGTAAGGACCCCCTGGCAGTGAGGAGGGGCAAAGGCCTGGAGGTGCAGCAGGAGGGAAGAAGACGGGCCAAGGGCTGGGGCTGGTGGGTGCAGAGTGGCACAGAAGGGTCTTCACGCTGGGATCTGTGGGGTCCAAGGGGCTCCCTCCCAAGACTTGATGCACCTGAGCGGCAGGAAAGAAAGATCAGGGGGTGAGGCACCTGGAGGGTGAGATTTCCGGGAAGGAAGTTAACCCCCTTCTCCACAACCCACAGGCTTAGGGAGCCCCAATGGCTACAGATCAGGTAAAGCTGAGGGTGGGCAGGCGGGAGCAGCTGTGTCCTCCGAACAGGGGAAGGCACCCCAGCTCTTGGTCCTTAGGGCTCAACTTCTTATCTCTTCCCCCCATCCCCGCCAGGCTATGGCCCCCTCGGTGGCCTGGGAGCAGGTGAGAGATGGGCAAATGGGATCTTGGGGTTAGGAGAAGCAGCCACCTCAACAATATGTGGGGGACGCTGCTGACTCCGCCCCACCCTCCTCAGAGCAGCGAACTGGTGCCCCCTTCGGCATCTCCTTTCCCTCCTGTGCACACTGCCCTCCACCTAGGACACCAAGACTGTTCTGGCGCCATCGCACCCGTGTGCCGCACCCCGGACACCCCCAACCCCTCCCTGTCCCCGCTTGTTCTCTGTGCCACCCCGTGGGGCCCCGTGCCGAGGTGGGGGGGGCACGAGTCTGCTCGCTGCGCGCCCTCTGGGCCAGCTGGGAGTGGGCTCCAGGGCCCCTGCCTGGCACCAGCGGGGCCCTCCACCCTCTGGGGTGGACCTACCAGAGCCAGAATGGCTGTGGGGGAGGTGTCCTGGGAGATCCTGCAGGAGGGAATCCGGGGACCCTCACCTACTCCCTGGGTCCCCCCTGGCTGCAGAGGGGCTATTAAACCTCAGAAGCCAGGTGGGCATGCCCCAGCTCTGCTCTGGCTCCCCACCTTTCTCTCACACCCCTTATCTCCATCTGTCCACCCAGGATTTGAGAACGGGAATGGACTGGGAACCCAGCCAGGTGAGATCGGTAGACTCTGGGGGTTGGTTCTCTCTGCCTCCCTCCCTGGCCTGAGGGGGGGATGATCAGGATTTTTTAATGATTGAGGGGCAGGTAGGGAGTTTTTCAGTTTGCTGTTTCTGGCTGGGTCCAAGGGTCCTGTACCCCCACTCCAGCTAGGACTCCAAATCACCCCATTCATCCCTCCCTCTCCCCGTGGGTCCTCCACCCACAGGAAGAGGTGGGCTCGGGGTGACTGGGAGCTGGGGTCAGGATGCCAGAGGTATTTGTGAAATGGGAGCTGAGACCCCCACTTGATCCCCATGTCCCTCTCAGGCATCGGAGCGGGTATAAGAGCCCAGAAGCCAGGTGAGCCTCCCGCCCTGTCACCCCCCATCTCTGCTCTGCTGCCCTCCCACATTATTCTCTTATTCCAGCCTGACAGCTTCCCGCCCTGTCTCCCCAGGGTTTGGGAACAGAAATGGGCTGGCAGCAGGGGCCTTCCCGGGTGCTGTCACCCAGCCAGGTGAGACGGGGGAAGGGGGGGCTGCTGAGGAGGCTGGGTCAGCATTGGGAGGTCTCCCAGGCTCCCCTAGGGCAGACCTGGGGACTTTTTGGAAATGGAAGAGAAAGGCCATAAAAGTTTTGGGGAGGGGGAGAAGGGCACCCCTGTTTCACCCCCCATTTCAGCTGGGACCCCAGAAGCCCTCTGCCCTCCTCCTCAGCCCAGCATGGCTACAGAGCCGGAAAGAGGCTGGGTCCCTGGGACCCCCTCACCTACCACATCTCTGTCCCCAGGTTTTGGAGGTGGTGTGCAACCCCAGAAGCCAGGTGAGATGACCGCTGCATGCCCCCCACCCCAGCCTGCCTTCTGTCAGGCTCCCTCTGACGCCCATTTCCCTCTTCTTTATTCCCTCTGGCTTTGTCTCCCCAGTATACGGAAATGGACTGGGAATGGGTGCCTTCCCAAGGCTGGGAGCCCAGCCAGGTGAGGACACCAGGAGCCTGAGCCCGGGCGGGGGCGGGGGGGGGGGGGGGGGAGGGGTTGGAAGGAGGGAAGAATGGCCGCCTGGGTGGCTCAGCGGTTGAGTATCTGCTTTTGGCTCAGGGCGTGACCCCGGGATCCAGGATTGAGTCCTACTGGGGCTCCCCACAGGGAGCCTGCTTCTCCCTCTGCCTGTGTCTCTGTCTCCCTCATGAATAAATAAATAAACTCTTAAAAAAAAAAGGAAGGAGGGAATGAATGGGGGAGAAAGTTGGGGGGCAGGGCAGGGGGTGGGGGAAGCCTCTGCCTCTCCCCAGGCCTCCTCAAGCTAGGTGAGGGGAGAGGGCCCTCCAGGCCCTGGCTTGGGCAGGGATGCCCCTGTCACTCTTGCGGGGGAGCCATCTGGGGCAGGGTCTTCCCGACTTCCCCGAGCAGCTAAGGGACACGGGGTCCTATGAAGGCAGCACAGGAAAGGATGAGGGCTCCCCAAAGCAGCCATGTTTGTGCCGCTCCAGCCCTGCTCCCCTCATTTCCCCAGGCCCCATGGCTCAGAATGGCGGCCAGGGACCAGGTAGGGCGGGGGCCGGGGCATGTGCATGGGTGTGGGGGTTCAGGGGAGCTCCAGGCCCCCTCAGCTGGTCCCTGACCCTTTCTCAGGAGTTGGAGGGGGCGTGAAGCCTCAAAAGCCAGGTGAGCCGCGCCCCTCTGTCCCTCCCTGCCGTCTTCCTCCCGGCCTCCGGCCTCCCCCTCACTCCCTCTTGCTGTCTTCCCAGCATTTGGCAATGGGAACGGAATGGGAGTCGGAGCCCAGCCAGGTGAGGGCACCTGGGCCAAGCTGGGGTCTGGGGAGGAGCTAGGGAGGGCAGGGAGTGGAGGGCAGAAGATTGATTTCTGGGGGGAGGGGAGATGTCTGGGGCATAGGATGGGATGACGCTCACATGTGGCTTGTCCCTGGGACTCTGTCCTCCATCCAAGCCTCTCCTCTCCAGGCCATGGAGCTGGCCATGCAGGGAGCCCACTGCTGGGGCAGCTGGGGCGGGCAGGGGTGGGGGGGTGTCACGTGGATGGAGAGGTCAGGATCCCCGGCCTTGATTCCCAGCAGAGGGGCTCTTAGGGGCCCACTCATTCCCCTAGCGCCCCAGTGGCTGCCCTTGGCCACGCCCCGTCCTGGGGAATCCAATCCCAGACTTGGAAAGGGAGAGTGGAGCCTGCGGCCTGAAGCTGGGGGGCTCTGACCTTGCAGTGGGCACACCCTTGGGGTTTTAAGCCAGGGTGAACCTCCCTGGGCTCCAGGAAGCTGGACTTGGCCTCACAGTGGCAGGGAGACCAGGGGTTAGGCGGGGGCCAGGCGGATGGAGGGCAGCTGTGGGGACAGGTCTGGAGGGTGGGTCCTTCGCTGCCTCACCTCCTCAGCCCCTCTCCTGTCACAGGCCCCACAGCCCCCTGCCAGGCTGAGAGGAGGGATGTGTGAGGGGAGGGCTGGGATCCTGACGGCAGGGTGGAGGAGAGTGGGGGCCTGTTTCAGCGGCACCCAGCTTTTCTGTGTCACCCCCCAGTCCCCTGGCCACTAAATCGTGCAGCTTTGGGAGTGGGGGGTAGTGAGGGGGCCGGTTGAAGCTGGAAGCCAGGGCTGAGCTTCTGGGTCCCTCACCTGCTCCTCTCCCCCAGGCCTGGGAGCGGGTGTAAGTCCACAGAAGCCAGGTGAGCCCCCTAGTTGTCTCCCTGTCAGCTGTCTTCATCTGTGCTCCTGAGCCCCACACCCCCTTACTCCCTCTGGCTCTGTCTCCCCAGGATTCAGGAATGGGAATGGGCTAGGAGGCGGTGCCTTCCCAGGAGCAGGAGCCCAACCAGGTGAGGCTCTGGGGCTCCAGGAGCGTGGGAGTCACTGAGGCGGCCCAGGCCTAGTTATGATTCGGGGCCTGCCCCCAGTTCCAAGGGAGGAAGAGGGGCCAGGTGGACACACAGCCGGCCTCCTGGCCCTCCCCATGCCTGGGAGAACTAAAGCCACAGAAGCCACGTGACACCCCCTTGCCACTGCCTCCTCTCCCACCTGCTGTGAGCCGCCCTAGCGCACGGACAGCCAGGGGCTAGCCGGGTGGGAGACCGCGCTGCAGGACCTGGGGTGCACTGAGATGGGGGACGGGAAAGGAGCTTGAGGAAGGGGGCCGTGGTGCCCCCTGGGGGGAGCCAGGAGCATTTGGGGAGAGGAGGCCGGGGAAGACCGCTGGCTGGGGCCCACTGAAAAATCTGGGGGTCCTTGAGCTGGGGCCTCCAACAGAGGACAGAGGGCGCAGGCACTGGAACAGCTCAGAGGCCAGGTGGCAGGAGCTCGCACTAACCCTGTGCTCCATGAGGCAAAGTCGTGGCACAGAGCCTGTCTCCCTGGCTGGCTGATGCCCGTGGTGGCCGTGACACCCCACCAGATGGGACCCAGGCAGCGGGGGTGGCATTCAGGCTCCCCAGGGAGCTGGGCTCCAGGAGGAGGTCAGGGACTCAACTGGGTGGGGGTGGCAGTGGATTTAGAGCCACAGGGTCCAGGTTCCAGGGGGAGCCTCAGAGAGACACTGGCCCAGATCCCCTCTTACCTCCCATTAGGTCCTGTGACTCAAAATGGCTACGGACCAGGTAGGAGTATCCCAGGGCTCTGGGGACACCCAGAGATGGGGACTGGGCCCTCATCTGCTCCCTGTCTCCACCAGGCTTTGGAGGGGGTATGAAGCCCCAGAAGCCAGGTGAGCCTCGCCCCTGCCTATCTCCACCCCCAAACCTAAGCTCCACCCCATTCACACAGCCCCCCAACTGCCCCCCAGGATTCGGGAACGGCAATGGGCTGGGAGCCCAGCCAGGTGAGAGACTGGGGGGCCTGGGGAGCCGCCTCTGGGCTCCTCTCCCGCCTCCCTCCAGGCCTTGTTGGGGTAGGATTGGTAAATAATTGAGGGAGTGCTGAGAGTAGGCCTCTGGGATTCCAGCTTTCTGGCTTGGCTCTGAAGGGGGCCCCTTCACATCTACCTCAGCTGGACCCCAAATACCCCAACTCACCCTTCCTCTTCCCACAGGCCTAGCAACCCAGAATGGATATGGAGCAGGTAGGAACAAAGTGGGGAGGCCCTTGGGGAGGCCTTGGGATGGGACTCCCAGGTGCCTCACCTGCTCCTGTGTCTTCTCCAGGCTTTGGGGTGGGCACGAAGCCTCAGAAGCCAGGTGAGTCCTGCCCCGGACTCGTTTATATCCATGAACCCCCTGAAGCCAGAGCACCCCCTCCTCAGCCTCCCTGTCACTCCCTAGGGTCCGGGAACCGCTGCAGGGCATGGCCTTCCCAGGGCTGGGGCCCAGGCTTCTCCCGAGGCCAGAGGAAGGCAGAGGGCTGGCCTCCACGTGGTGGGGGGGCAGAGCCTGGCCTGTGGCCGGGAGGGGCGGGAAACCCCTGAAGCCCGGGGCGGGAAACCCCTGAAGCCCGGGGAGGGAGGAGGCAGCCTTGCACCCACTGCCTCCTCCTGAACCCCTCAAACACTGTCCGTTCCTCCTCCCTGGATGTGGTAACGAAAATGGACCAGGAGCCCAGCCATGTGAGGATAGCTGGGTTTGGGTCCCAGGGGTTGGAAGAAAAACAGGAACAGGGTGTGGGGGGTGCATAGGGGACCCTGAGGAGAGGTCAGGGCCGGGGCAACATCAGCCTCCACCTCCCCCGGCCAAGGCCAAGGTGGGGCAGTAAACCCCAAAGCCAGGTCAGCCTCACCCCTGCCTTTCTGCACCTCCCCCAAACCTGAGCTCCCCTGGCCCCACTACATCCCCTGTCCATCTGCCCCCCAGGATTCGGGAACGGCAACGGGCTGGGAGCCCAGCCAGGTGAGAGACTGGAGGGGCCTGGGGGGTACAAGTCTGGGCATCCTCACACCCCTCCCTCCAGGCCTTGTAGAGGCAGGGCTGGTGAAGGCTAAGGAGCAGCTGACAGGGCCTCCAGGACCCCTGATTCTGCTAAACTCTGAGGGGGGACCACAGGTGATTCCCCCACCCTAGCCCCCTGCTCATCCCCCACCCTACCCCCCATTCATCCCTCCTCCCCCAGGGCCCCCCCTGCTCCCCACAGCCCCAGGGCAGGTGCTGAGGGGAGAGGAGCGCTGGTCCTCACCCGGCCCCATCGGGCGTCCAGCCCGACCAGGAAAGGGCAAGGGCGGGGCTGGCGACTGAGCAGAGGTGGCAGGAGGCTCAGGAGGCCCAGGTTCCTTGTCTGAGCCCTGGCCTTCCTACCAGGCCTCTCCTGTCCCCACAGGCCCTGTGGTCCCCATGGGCTACAGACCAGGTAGGGAGGTGGCAGACACCAGGAGTTCTGAGGAGGGGCCGAGATGGGGGCGTGCGCTCACCTGTGGGGGCTCACCTGCTGCATCTCTCCAGGCATCCGTGAGGGCGGGAAGCTGAAGCCAGGTGAAGTCTCTCCCTGTGATACCGTGACTTCTAGTAGGAAGTAACTGTGGGGTCTCTAGTTGCCGCGCAGAGCTCCTCAGTCTTGGACTCTCCTCAGTGAGGGGTGCAGGTGTCTTTTGTGGCTAATGAAGTGACTTGCAGAGCCACTAAGTCACCTAAGGGGGGAGCTAGTTGCCAGGGGAACCCACCTTGTGATTCGGGTTCACCCTTTGACTTCCAGGGAGGGGGCGGGCTGGAGATTGAAAGAGTCACCAGAGGGCCAGTGCAAGGAAGCCTCCCCAAACCCTGAGAAGGGCTGGGTTGGGAGAGCCACTGGGACGGTTGCCCCCTGGAGGTGCCCCCCGTGGAGGTGCCCCCCCGTGGAGCTGTCCTCCCATGGAGGTGCCTACCCCCGTGGAGCTGCCCCTGGAGGTGTCCCCCCTGGAGTTGCCCCCATGGAGCTGTCCCCACATGGAGGTGTCCCCCGCCCCGTGGAGCTGCTCCTGGAGGTGCCCCCCCCCCGGAGCTGCCCCTGGAGGTGCAGAGAGGCAGGGGGCCCAAGGGCAGGGACGAGGCCCCTCAGTCCTTCCCCCAAGCCTGCCCTCTGCATGCCTCTCATCTGCTGGTCCTGAGCTCTCGGCCCTGTAAGAGGCCTGTGTTCTAGTAGGTAACCTGTTTCCCTGAGTTCTGTGAGCTGCTGTAGCAAATCACTCACCCCCAGGGAGTGTGGTTCATAGCCAGCGGGTCAGAAGTGCCGGTGGCCACGGGGCTGTGATGGGGAGTCGGAGGCCATCTGCAGGTGGCTGGTGCCAGGACTGAGTGACATAGTCAGACATCCAGCTGGTGTCGGGAGAATTGCTTGGTGCTGTGGGAAAACTTGGGAATTGGGGTCGGTGTCAGGATGGGGCCCCTACTCTTCTCTACCACTGGAAACTCTTCACCCACCCTTCCTTTCCCCCTCACAACCCACACCCTGTCTCCCAGTCTACAGGAATGGGCTGGGAGCAGGAGCCTTCCCAGGCGAGGGGGCCCAGCCAGGTGAGAGAGGCAGGGGGCGCCCTGGGGTGCTGGGGTGAGGGGGCGGGGGAGGAGGGGGCACAGGGCCTCCTGGGGCAGAGTTGGGTCCTGGGGAAGGCCCACTTGTCACTCAGCCTGTTTCTGTATCTCCGCAGGCCTGGGAAGGGGCCTGAGCCCTCCAAAGCCAGGTGAGCCCCCCCACCCCATGCCCCTCCTCTGCCCTGCCCTACAGCTGCTGCCGCCCAGCCTCTGCCCTCATGCCTGCTCTTCCCCCCAGGATACTTGCCAGGGCCCGGGCTGCAGCTCCCAGCAGGTGAGTGCAGTGGGGGCTGGGGAGGACGGGGAGACTGGGGGGCGGGGCTCTGCTGGGGCTTGAGGTCTGAAGTCTGAAGCTGCCTGTCTCCTGCAGCTCTGGGAGGGGGTGTGAAACTTCAAAAGCCAGGCAAGTGAGAGCCCTCCCATTGTGGTCCTGCACCTCCTCCTGCCTCCCTCCAGGACCCTCCCCTCCCCGTATTGCTCCCCCTCACGTCCCTGCTTTTTCTCTGCAGGATATGGCAACGGAAATGGGTTGGGGGCCCAGTCAGGTGAGGCTCCCGGGCAGGGCTGGGGGTGAAGGGAGGCACATCAGGAGAGGCCGGAGGGTGTTGCTGGAAGGCAGAGGAGCCGTGCTAGATGGCGGGGTCACCTTGTCCCCAAGCACCACGGGACTGGGGCTTAGCCAGTGGCCCCCCTGGAAGCTGTCTGCCCTGGAGGTCGCTGCAGGCTGCTGGCTTGGCCAGGCTCAGGCCAGGAGAGCACCCAGGGAAGGCGCCGCCTGGGTTCACTGCCCTCCCGCTTCCTCCCCGATCTAGGTCCCTGCAATGGGAGGGTCCCTCCACTGCTTCTCCCCAAGTTTCCCACTTCGGGGACCCCTTCTGATAAAGGGGGCGACTGGGGTCCCAAATCTCAGCCCTCTCCCCCAGTGCAGAACAGCAAGTTCCCAGGTCAGTGTGGGGGGTTGGGGGCACCAAGAGGGGCACCAGGGATGCCTGGTCCCAGGAGGGGCTGGGTCTAGCTGGGCTGCTCAGAAGCCCCCACATCCACTCTAGCGGGACTGAGGCTTGTCACAGCGAGCTGAGGGGAAGCCTGACTCTGGCCCTGAGACCCTGGGCGACCCCCGTTGGCAGCGCCCCCGCCCCGGCCCCCAGGGCAGGCTGCAGCACAGCCTCCTCCTGGCCCTCGGCTCACTCCTGTCCCTTGGCCTTCCTCCTAGCACCGACTCCGGCCATCTCCTGGGGACTGAAGCCTCAGAAAGCAGGTGTGACTCTGCTCTCTGTCCCCACGTCCTAGGACACTGGGTCACTCCTGGGGTCACTCCTCCACTGTCCTTGGGCCCCTGTCGGCTTAGCTGCTCAGGCTCCTCAAGGCCAGGAAGTCCCTCCCCAAGTCTACCCGCAGGCTCTCTCGCTGAATGGGAAGCCTGTTTCTTCCTGTTCTATTCCCTGTTGGTAGGGGGTGTCCCTCTGTCCCCCACCCCCAGCCCCTCAGGTTCCTACTTGCTCCCTGGTGAGTTAGGGAAAGTCTGGGTGCTCTCAGCTGATTCCCATTCCCCTCACAGGGTCCCAGCTCCCGAATGGCTATGGAGCAGGTACAGAACTGGGTGAGGAGGCCCTTCCCCTGCCCCCTTCCCGGGCCCTCGCTCAGGCCCTCGCTCAGCTCTCTCCGACCCCGTCTCTGCCATTTCCTCCCCCTCAGGCTTTGGTGGTGGCCTCAAGCCTCAGAAAGTCGGTGAGTCCCCTGGGCCCCTGGGCGCAAGCTGCTGTCTTCCCCGCGGCCAGCCCTCCTGTGCTTGGCTCAGCCGCTGGGCCAGCAGGCCAGACAGGGACAGGTGTGGCGTCTGGGGAGGGACAGGGGCAGACTGATGTACAGCCCGGGGCGAGAGGGAGACTGCCCCCAGGGAGCCCGGGAGAGGCTTCCAGAAGGTAGGCTTTGCACAGGGTCAGCTGGCTGAGCGGGACAGTGTGTGAGGCCCTCTCCGGGTTGCCTCTGAGCCAGTCTGTCTGTCTGCCTGCCACCTCCTATCTCTCCAGGAACTGGTCACCCTGAGCCCCCACCCCCGCCACCCACCCAGCCCTCCTCTCCTTCTGTCTTGCAGGTTTTGTTTATGGGAATGGTCTGGGAGCTGGGGTCTTCCTGCAGCCCGGTGCCTGGGGGTGCTGGGGTGGGTTGGGGTGGGGGCACAGGGGCTACTCCTGTCTGACTTCCTCTTCCCTCCTCCAGAGTTCCCTGGGGCCAATGGCTTTAGGAACGGTGAGTGGGGGGCAGAGGGCAGAGGGCAGGGGATGAGGGCGAGGGATGTCCAGGGGCCAGGCCAGAATCTCTTGGATCTTTTACAGGCTACGGGGAGGAAGCACCTGCCTACCCCAAAGCAGCAGTTCCAGGCCCCGAAGGAAATGGTAGGAACGAGTGTTTAGGTGATGAACCGTGCTGCCTGGGACCTCTGAGGCCCCGGGAAGGTTGCGGCATCCTGGACGTCCAGCTCCGGAGGGCCGGGGTGCTCACAGCAGCCCTCCTCTGCAGGTCAGGCCGGGGCCCTCCGCGGCTCTTCCTGGCCCTCCGTCCAGCCCTGGGGCCTCGCCCCGAAGCCTGGATATGGGGCTGGAGGCGCGTATCCAGGGGTCGGGAGCCAGCCAGGTAATGGGGTGCATGGAGGAGCATCATGGGCTTGTAGGGGTGCCTGTCGGGAGCAGGGGCTTGGGCTAGGCCCACCCAGAGCAGGAGTAGAACAGGGACAGGAGGAATTAGGTGGGAACGGATGGGGTTTGAGGAGAGACAGGTGGAGCAGGGGACCCTGAGCAGGAGCCTGGACACGAGATCAGGATGAGGAGGTGAAGACCTTGGGTGAGGGCCACCGGGGACTCTGTGCTCCCACCTTTTGTCCCTCCCCCCAGCGACCTATGGACAGCTGAGGCCAGAGCTGGGCCCTGGCCCCTTTGGTAAGTGGTGGTCTCCCAGGGCCTGGGGTGAAGCCGGGAAGGGCAGAAGGACTCTGACGTCCCTGATGATCCGGTGCCCCGGCTTGTCTGTGCCTTAGGCAGCCCGGATGCGAAGAGAGGCAGCAGCGGCCTGGGAAATGGCTATGGAGGTGAGACGGTCATGGTGGCCCTGCCCGCCCCCCTCGCCCTCTGCTACCACTGTTGCCCCTCCAGGCTGGCTCCCCAGCCCTTGGAGGGACAGCGGGCTCTCAGGTGGCCTGTGGATATCTGTTGAGTGACTAGAGACCAGAGGAGGAAGAGGGACAGCTTGGGGGCCCTGGGAGGCGAGGAGGGGTCCAGACCTCACCAGGGCCCTGCCTCTCCCCAGGCCCCTGACCTCTTGGGAGGCGCTGAGCCCTGAGGCCCTGCTGCTGACCCCTCCTGAGCACCCTGGACGCAGCCTGGGGTGTTGGGCAAGGGCGCCCAGACCCGGGGGCATGCTTCTGGCCTGGGGTCTCCTGCAGGCTGAAAGTATTAATAAAGGCGACGTGCTTCACTGTTTGGCTGTGTGCTATGTGCTGCTGCAGGCCCTCACCTCATTCACCTGTTCCTAACGGGGCAGCGCTTTGTCACCATCCAGAGGGGGAGCCACATCCCAGTTAGGGGACCTGTGCATTATTGATGTCCATGTTTATAACCAACCTATTAAAGCAAAAAATCTTTTTCTCTTAAGCCTTCCATGTGCTTCCCAGTGTTATTGTACTGATTAATTTTATAATTAGGATATAAAACTCACTTTCACATTCTCTGATTAATGCTCAGATTATGAGTTTGAAAAAAAAAAGATTATGAGTTTAACAGATCTGACTTCCCCCTGAACATTCAGTGCACCTTACAAACCTGATTAACCCAATTTCCTTATATGCTTCAGTTACACACGGAATCTCCTTGATCTACAAATCCAACCAGTTACTTCTTCCTAAGCACTTAAGGGGCTTTTGGAAATGAATAAATCAGTCATTTAATAGGTCAGATTACTGAATGCTTTCAAAGGTCTCAAAAAGCCAGTGACTAATCCAGTATCCATATTAGTGCTACTAGATGTCTGCTTTTTCTTATCCTGCTTTCCCAGAAATGCGGAAGCAAAATCCTCCCCACCCTCCTCCAGAAAGGGGGGTGGGGAGCTCAGGGGTGGGGGTAGTTGCACAACTGGGGACTGACCTGCTATTCTGAACTACTCAGAGCCAGGCCAGGCCCAGAACCATCCCTCTTGGCCTCTGTTCTCTCCCTGTGCCCTCCCAAGCCCATACCTCTTGCCACTTGACAGAAGTACTTATCTGGACATATCCAGTTTGATAGGATTGGGTAACTTATGAGGAACCCTCATTTTTTTATGGCCTGATTTACAAAGATGGGATTTAGGTGTAGACTAAAACCTCAGTGCAATAGGCACAAGGCTTAAGGTTGTCAGCTTGTAGGAGATTCTGTGCACATTGGAATTCCAGCCTGATTTTTCTTAGCCAACCTCATTTGATTTGCTCTGTTTGAGAATCCTGGATTTTTCCTTTTTCACAGAAGTACTAATTGTTCTAAAATCTCTAAATAGTCAGGGTTGCCTGGGTGGCTCAGTGGGTAAAGCGTCTGTCTTTGGCTCAGGTCAGACCTCAGGGTCCTAGGATGGAGCCCTGCGTGGGGCTCCCTGATCTGTGGGGAGTCTGCTGCTCTGTCTCCCTCTGCCATTCCTCTCACTTGTTCTGGCTGGCTCTCTCTAGCTCTCGTCAAATAAATAAGATCTTAAAAATTTTTTTAAAAGTCCAAATAGTCTCACCTTTCTCTGTCCCAAGATAATAGAATAAATTATGTCTTTTTACAGGTGTTAGAAAACAACAGGCCAAAAATGGAGCCACTTAGGCCAAGTCCCCAAATGAAAGGCTTAACACCCAAGTTAATCACAGTTTCCACCTCCCCCAGAAAGTCTTAAGGGGTCAGTCAAGAATTTTCAGGTCAGCACCAAATGAGTTGATGTCACATGGGCCTTCACTATCTGCCCTCCCCCAAGGAAGATGAGGTAATCCACCTAAGACCACCTAAGACGCCCCACACACACCTCCTAAAGACAAGGTGACCTTGCCTGGAACAATCTTTTCTTTTGCTAATCACGTCCTTATACCCTCCTCCTCCTTCCTATAAAAACCTTCCATGCTGGGATCCCTGGGTGGCGCAGCGGTTTGGTGCCTGCCTTTGGCCCAGGGCGCGATCCTGGAGACCTGGGATCGAGTCCCACGTCGTGCTCCCGGTGCATGGAGCCTGCTTCTCCCTCTGCCTGTGTCTCTGCCTCTCTCTCTCTGTGTGTGACTATCATAAATAAATAAATAAAATTAATAAAAGAAAAACCTTCCATGCTGCACAACTTGCAGTTCTTTTTACTTGGTGGATCGGGTGCTGCCCCATTCATGAATCCTTAAAGCCGATTAAACCTGCAAATTTACTCAGTTGAATTTTTGTTCTTTAACCCTGGAAAAGAGGATTAGAAATCAACCTCTGGGGACGCCTGAGTGGCTCAGTGATTGAGCGTCTGCCTTCAGCTCAGGGCGTGATCCCGGGGTCCTGGGATGGAGTTCTGTGTCAACCAGCACCATGCACATCAGGGAGCCTGCTTCTCCCTCTCCCTCTGCCCCTCCCCTTGCTGTGCTCTCTCTCTCTCTCTCCCTCTCTCCCCCACCCATCAGGTAAATAAATAAAATCTTAAAAGAAAAAAACCCAACCTCTGGACATAAGGGCCACCCAGCAGACTGTCTCAGTGAGGGCGATGGGTGATATCCTTCTTAACCCACCTAAAAATGTTCTAATATTATTCTTTTTCAATCGAGTTTATTTATTTATTCATGAGAGACAGACACAGAGACAGAGGCAGGGACACAGGCAGAGGGAGAAGGAGGCTCCCTGTGGGTCATCTCAGGCCCCTGAGGCTAAGGCAGACGCTCAACCACTGAGCCACCCAGGTGCCCCTTATATTCCGATTATAAAGAGATGGACCATTCTCTCCTTTTTTCTAATTGTCACCCATCTATCGTTTATATCCTCCGTTAACAATAGCGTAAATGCTACATGTCATCAAATTCTGGTTCCGAATTATTTTTTCTTTGAGATAACTGAACGAGAACCTGCACAAGTCTTGACCCAGGCCAGGCGCCTCATCCCAGAGTCACTAAGGTTAACTGTGGTTGGCCGCGGGGCCGCGGCTCAGCGGGCCCTGCCGCCAGGTGGGGGCGCCAACGGCGCGTGTGCAGCGCCTGGTCCCCGGGCTGGCGGGGGCGGGGCCTGAGCTCCAAGGGACGCCGTGATTGGTTGGGGCCGCGGGAGGGCGGGAGGAAGAGCTTGACAGAAGCGCTGCCGCCTCTGATTGGCCGCCAGAAGTAGCTCGTGCCGCCTGTCGGGACAGACGCGAAGGCGGCGGGCGCGTCGGCCCGTGATTGGCTGGGCCGGTCCCCGCGCCGCGCGTGGCCGCCGGGGGGAGGGACCGGGTCGCGGCTGGAGGCGGGCGCTGCGCCCCCGGGTGGCAGCGGCGGCCAAGCTGGCGTCGCGGCTTCCCCGCTCCCGCTCGAGCCCGCGCCTCGCCCGCGCCCGCGCCCGCGCCCACTCGCGGCTGGACCAGGCCCGCGCGTCCCTGTCGCTGACCCCGCTGCCCGCCCCGTCGCTGCCGCACCCGCCGCTGCCCGGCCTCCCGCCCGGCCTGCCCCCAGCGCCGCCGCCGCCGCCCTCGGCGCTCGCCTTGGCGGAGCTGCCGCCTCTGCCGGCGCTGCCGCTGCGGCCCGAGCCGCTGGCGCCCTGGGGCCCCGGCGCCCACCTGGCGCTGCCCGAGCTGCCGCCCGAGGCCTGCGTGCCCGCGCCGCCCGCCGCCGCGCTCGCCCTGCAGGACCTGCCGCGCCTGCCCGCGCCCGCGCCGCCGCCCGCGCACCTGCCGCTGCCGCCGCTGCCCGCAACCGCCGTCGCCGCCACGCCCGGGCCCGTGGGCGCGCGCGGCCGCCCGCCCCTGCTGGCCGAGCCGCCCCCGCAGCCGCTGCCGCCGCTGCCCGCGCGGCCCTCGCCCTCCGGCCTGCTGGCTCCGCCCGCGCCCCGCGCGCCCTGGTTGCTGCCCGCCTTCCCGCCGCCGCCGCCGCCGCCGCACCTCTTCCTGTCGCCGCCCTGCTGACCGCCCGGCCCTTCCGAGGTCTGGACCCCGGCGGGCTGCGGGCGGCTGAGTAAGCAGCGCCGCCTGGGGCGCGGGGCCGGGCGCCCTCACCGCCTTCCCCGCCGGCCGATGGGCAAAGCGAGGGTCGGAGCCCGGGCTGGGATGGCGGGAGCGGTGTCAGGGGAGCCGGCCAGCTTTGGTGGGGGGAAGGAGCAAGTCTAAAAATAAGTTCATTTTAAGAATAGGGTCTTTATTCCACTTTGCTGCCCTACAGCAAGCCTCTTGCCTGGTTATTTGAGAATGTAACTCATCCCCTGTGCTGATAAGTGGGCGGCTTATCAGAGCCGCCGGGGCGGGCGGGGGGCACCGCACTTGGCTCCAGGAAATTAGAACAAGCGTTTAAAATGCTCTGTCTGGGCAGCCCCGGTGGCGCAGCGGTTTAGCGCCAGCCTTAGGCCCAGGGCGTGATCCTGGAGACCGAGTCCCACGTCGGGCTCCCTGCGTGGAGCCTGCTTCTGCCTCTCCTCTCTCTGTGTGTGTCTCTATGAATAAGTAAATAAGTAAAAATTCTAAAAAATAAGATAAAATGCTCTGTCTGCGTTCGCAAAATGTCGCATTTTCCACTATAAAACGAAGAGTCTTAGTGCATGACTAAGGCCCTGACCCACTATGTGTGGATGGCTTCTGCGAGACCCATACGCTGCCTTCCAAGTCTTGAGTCACACTGAACTGAAATAGAGCCCAGGGTTCTGCAGGCCTGGGTGCCCCGGAAAAGCCGCAGTCTGATGGACGACGGATACTGGGCCCTGGAGCCGCAGCATCACAGGCAAGGGCTAGGTCATCCCCCGCCGCCGGGAAAGCACCCAAGGAAGCCCTTTGCTCTCCCCACCTTTGCTGGCCTCTCCTCCACCCCTACATTGCCAGATTCTCCCCAGCCTGTGCAAGTCAGAATAAACATTTCCTTTGTTATTCAGGTGGTTCCGGCTCAGGTAACCAGGCACAAGTCCTATCTCAGTGTGCTCTTCTGCAGCAGCTCAGGAGTGGTATCAGGAAGCCAGCATGACCTTGGGGGAACCTCTGAGAGCTGAGAACCCATCAGCAAGAAAGGCAGTATATGAATTTCCTGTGACTGCTGTAGCAAATCGCCACAAATTGGGCAGCTTAAAGTAAAAAGGAATTTATCATCTCAGAAGTCCCAAATCAAGGCGCTGCAGGGCTGTGCTGCCCCATGGCTCTAGGGGAGGATCCCTCCTGGCCTCTCGGAGCTTCTGGTGGCCCCTGGCATCCAGCCTTGGCCTCTGTCTTCACCAGCCTTTACCCTGTGTCTCCAATCTTCCTATTTTCCTCTCAGACACCTGTCATTGGATGTGGAGTCCACCCTAAATCCAGAAGGATCTCATCTTGAGGTTTTAAATTTATCTTAATGTAATTACAACTGCAAAGACCCTGTTTTCAAATAAGGCCACACTCACAGATTCCAGGGTTTAAGCCCAGGCATACTGTTGGGGGCCACCATGCGATCCATACAGGCAGTGTCCTCTCCCCTGGGGCGCTGGCCCACCTCCAGACCAGTCTTCCCAGTGTCTCTTCCTACTGTGTCTGAAACCCTGTCTCTCACTGACCTGGAGCCTGAGATGACTGCAATTGTCACTTGCCCAGCAAGGTCTGGCCCAGAGTCTCTTAGGCTGCCCAGAGCAGGTGGTGAGCAATGACGGTGCAGTCTGTGGGTCTGTGCCCGGGACACTGGGTGAAGGTGCAGCAGGTGGGGGGTGGCTCCTGGTGAAAGCAGATCCAGATGCAGTCCTGTGCAGGGTGCCTGGTGTGGGATGGAGGGATCGCCGGCTGGGGAGGAATGGGGCAGGATTGGGGGGGGGGGCGGTGGCTACTGGGCTGCCTTTGGGGAAAGAGGCACCAGGAGGCCCAGCTCACCCTGTAGCTCGGGCTCCTCTGGGCCTTGAAGTCAGGGTCTGGGGCTCCTTCAGGCTTGTCCTATTTCTCACAAGTACCTGTGGCCAAGTTCCCATAGCTCTCTGAGCTTGTTTCCCTGTCTGTAAAATGTAAAATGGGTAGTAACCCAGTAAGAACTGTCAAGGGACCTTGAGGATTCATCTGCACCTTTTGGTTCAGGGACCCAGGGATCTGGCTTTTCTACCCACAAAGTCTGGGGCCTTGGGCACCTCTGCAAAGCAGAGGCTGGTTGTCCCCCAGTACACCCCCGTACTCCTTGGCACCATGGTGGCTCTCCGGCTCTCCGGACCTTCAGTTCCCCTCCTTTGTCTTTGGGCCACACTTTTCTCTAAAAGCATGGTAGAGGGGCGCCTGGGCAGCTCAGTCTGTTGAATGTCTGCCTTCGGCTCAGACCCTGATCTCCGTGTCCTGGGATCCAGCCCCACATCGGGCTCCCACTGAGCAGGGAGCCTGCTTCTCCCTCCCCCTCTGCCGGTCCCCCTGCTTGTGCTCTCTGGCGTGCTCTCTCTAATAAATAAAATTTTAAAAAAATTTTTTTTAAATAAAAACGTGGTGGACGTGAGGACTAGAGCTAACCCACAACTGCCCTTCCCCCATCTAAGCCCCATCCGGGTTTCCTCTGCCCCCATGGGTGCCCCCCCACCGGGAGAACGAAAGTCACATCCAGTTCGCCCCAACCAGAAGCAGCGAACAGGGCGCGGCCCTTCCCCCGTGCCTCAGTTTCCCTCCACAGCAGTGCAGCGGGACAGGTTCCCCTCCCCCACCTCTTTCCGGGCTGAGGTGTGGGGGTGGGGATTCCTGCGGACGGACCGGTTGAAGTGCCTTTGAGGCGGCGACCGCGCAGAGGGAGTCCCCACCTCTCCATATCAATGGCATTCCAGCCCCATTTACAGGTCCTGCCTGGCCCCAACTTTAACCCTTTGGCTCCCAGATCCAGCGGCGTCCAGGTGACCGGGACCCGGGAGGGCCGAGCACGGCTGAGGGCGGGATGCGCGTCCTGCCCGCTGCCCGCGCCTCTTCCTCCGCGGCTGCCCCCTCCTGCCGACCGTCCCTCCTTGTCCCCAACGGCCTGTCCCACTTTCACCGGCCCTGGGGGCCTGGGGCAGCGGTGCCTCGTCTTACAAACACGGAAAAGAATAGACTTAGGTGGGAAGCTGCAGCGGCCCCCAGACGACCGGCAGGGACGGGCGGGTGACAGGCCGGGTGACAGCCGCTTGTGGGTCCCCGAGCAGTGGCTCCAGGGGCGGCCACGTCGCGGAGCGCAGGCCTCTCTGCGGAGGGCCCACGTGCGGAGCCCAAGACAACTGGGATCTCCAACCTCGACGGTCCCGGTGCCGCCCCGGGCAGGACACTTCCTCCGGGCGGGGCACTAGAGGTTTACACCTGCCTGTGCGACTGGGGGCCCGGCCTCCGCTGCAGGCTGAGCGGCCGCCGACACCTCGCGGCGCCCGGGGCAGACCCGGCTGGAGGCCCCGTGGGCGGCTTGCTGGGACCCTCGCCCGCTGTGGCGCCGCTGCCTCCTGACACCTGCTGGAACCTGTGTGTCTGGATTTCTCCAGGCCCCAGGCTTGCCTCTATTTGCCCTTCCTCTCAGCCGCTCCTCCCCTCCGAGAGATCTAGGTTCGGCCCCTTGCCAGTGGCGCCCCCACTCCCCGCCCTGGAGAGGTAGTGTGTGCAGGAAGAGCCCGGGCCACCAGAGTTCACCTTGCAGTCCTACTCCGTGGTGCTGGCCTCCATCTCCATTTTAGGGGGAGCGGCTCTCCGCTTCCTCTGGTCACTGACCCTTTTGCAAATCTGATGAGAGTAGAAGCCTCTCTTCCAAAAAGTGCTAAAACCCATTCCCAAAAGCAGGCAAGCACTGGAAGTGAAAAACTCTTATAGGCTAAGCCCCACCGAGCAGGTGAAGAGGCACCCAGTGTGCATGGCCCCCAGGGCCCTAGAGCAGTGCAGTGAATGAGGTGTGCCTGGGGAACCCCCGGGGCCATCAGGGGCTGTCTCCTCATAGGGCAGACGGGCTGTGGGCCCTCCTGGGGGAGGCGTAGAGGCCAGAGGCTCTTCCAGATTAAGGGCCCAGCTCCTTAAAGAGTCTGTTAGCCACCCAGGAAAGTATATGAATGGAAGGAATTGTCATGAGTGTCCCCTACCCCCCATTCCTTTTCCTTCGGCTCCTAGCACCTAGGAAAGGGCTTGAGGGGGTTCATGACCCCCCAAATGAGGAGCCCATGTTTGTGGGTCCCATCAGGTTTCTCACAGAGGGTCTTTGACCTAAGGAGGTTAAGGACCTTGACCTTCCATAATCTGTCCCTTGTTGGAGGCAGGATTTGAACTGTAGTCTATGAGTCTCAGGTTGCTCCCCACAAAGGGAGTCACAGGCTCCGAGGGGGTCTTTCCTGAGGACTGTGAGGCAGGGTTCACCTGGGCTTCTCCCCCTTGCCCTCCTCTGTGGGGTCTCTTCCAGAGCGATCACTTACTCCCCGTGGAAAAGACTTGGGTCCTGGGGCTTTACCCCCATCTGGGGCTCCTGTCTCCGCCACTCCTCCCTTCACCACAGACCCCTGCACGCCCCTCCCCTACTTCCACAGACGACTCTTTATGCCTCGGCCCCTGGAGACCTTCAGCGGCTCAGCCCTCAGTTTCAGTATCTGGGGGTAGGAAGGGCACACCTGGGCTGCGGTAGAAGTTGGGGGGGGTTTCTAGGCCGTTGCCTGGGCAATGCTACCTGAGCTGGGCGCCAGGCACCTGTTGCCAGGGGAACAGTGCGGGCGGGGCCGTCCCCTGAGAGCAGCTGGGGCCACTGGGCTGAGACTGGAGACAGATCGGGTTCCTGGGGTGGGCAGAGGGACGGGAACTGGGCTGGGGGTGTGGATACTGGGGGAGCTGGGTGTGTTTGCAACACAAAATGAAAAGCCCATAGGGAGGAGTTGCTGGGGGCGGAGGTGGGGGCTCAGGAGGCAGCTGAACCTCCACTTCCCTTCTCTTCTCAGCGCCGACTGGAGCCCCGCCCTCACCCTTGCCTACTCCCCAGCTGGTCCTCAGCCTCTCCTTTCTTTTGTCCCTGCATCCCCACAAGCACGGATGTCCTTTCGTCTGGTTCCCGGTGGCGGCACCCCTTCCCAGGCTCCCCATCCCACCCCCAGCCCCTCCTTCTCTCAGTAGCTCAGCCTCCGCCAGTCTCGGCTCCGCCGCCCCTCCCTCTGCCTCCACCTCAAAACCCCGCCTGCACCTGGGAGCCGGCTGAGTCCCCAGGTGACACCCACAGAGGGTGCGCTGCTCAATGTCAAGCTGAACCTGCCGGCGGGACCTCAGCCTAAAGGTGGGTCTGGAGGGTCTTTGCAAGCTGGGCCAGGCGGGCGGCAGCCAGGACGTGACAGCAGGGTGGCAGGAGCAGCAGCCACTGGGCATTGGATAGGCAACGGGCCCCTGGAGGGGACACTGCAACTTGGCTGGAGCAGGACTGTGAGATTGACCTGTGCGTGTTGGGGTGAGAGAGACACCCGTGAGGGGCTCGGAGAGACGTGCTTTGCAAGAGGCCCACAGATGTGAGGACTGTCCTGCCAAGGACGCGGACTTCTCCTTGCACTGGGCGCCAAGACGCCCACCCTGCAGGATCCGACCCACCCCTGAGTCAGCCAGGTTGTTCAAGGTTCAGAAGACCTGAGGGGACAGATGGCTTCAACAGCCCTTGAACTCCTGGGCATGACCCTGGCCGTGCTGGGCTGGCTGGGCACCCTGGTGTCCTGTGCCCTGCCCCTGTGGAAGGTGACCGCCTTCATCGGCAACAGCATCGTGGTGGCCCAGGTGGTGTGGGAGGGGCTGTGGATGTCCTGCGTGGTGCAGAGCACAGGCCAGATGCAGTGCAAGGTGTACGACTCCCTGCTGGCGCTGCCCCAGGACCTGCAGGCTGCCCGCGCCCTCTGCGTCGTCGCTCTCCTCTTGGCCCTGCTCGGGCTGCTCGTGGCCATCACAGGGGCCCAGTGCACCACCTGCGTGGAGGATGAAGGCGCCAAGGCCCGAATCGTGCTCACCGCAGGGGTCCTCCTGCTGCTCTCGGGCCTCCTGGTGCTCATCCCGGTCTGCTGGACCGCACACGCCATCATCCAGGACTTCTACAACCCCCTGGTGGCCGAGGCCCTCAAGCGGGAGCTGGGGGCCTCCCTCTACCTGGGCTGGGCTGCTGCCGCCCTGCTCATGCTGGGCGGGGGCCTCCTCTGCTGCACGTGCCCTCCACCCCAGATGGACCGGCCCCGAGGCCCCAGGCTGGGTTACTCCATCCCCTCCCGTTCGGGGGCGTCTGGGCTGGACAAGAGGGACTATGTGTGAGGTGGTGTCCCTGGAAGCCCGCGGCTCCAGCCTGACCTCATGAGCCCTGGCCTCGTGCTGGATGCCCTGCTGTCACCCTGGCTCCGTTCTGCCAACCCATTCCCCCGCAGGCGAAACCCATTTCCCTGAAGCTCCAGTCAGGCCAGACTACAGAGCTGAACCCTGACCCTCTCCAATGGGGTCCCCACAAGTCCTTCTCCTGCCTCCACCCAGGCAGAGCCAGAGCTGATGGGGTACACTGGTCTGCCCCTGCCCCCACCCCCAGACAGATTGCTTTCTTTTGTGGTCCACACTTGGGCTGGCCCTCCTTTTCCTCTGAGGTCACCTGGGCTTCACCCCAAGGGCAGCAGGTCTCTGGCTCCAAACCAAGGAGGGGATCCCTGCCCTGGGGTGGGTCCTCTCCAGCCTGGCCACCACCTGCATCCAGAGATCCAGGCCAGGAGTCCCAGCTAGTCACCTGCCCCACCTTCTCTGCTCACCTGCTAGTTGGAAATAAACAGAATTTTGTACCTTGGCTCTTTTGATTTGTCAAAAGACAGGCTCTTTTGATCTGGGCTGTCAGTCCAAGGCCCGCTCCAGGACCTGTCCAGTGGGTGCCCTCCCTCCCTGGCCACGGGGGGTCCAAAGATAAGGAGGGTGAGCCATTTGTGCTTCCCTCTTCCCCCTGCCAGGCTGGCACTCAGCAGCCCCCCAGCAACACCCAAGGCAAGCAACAAAATAAGACAAGCTTTATTTAGCAAAAACTGGTGCGTGTGTGTGGCGGGGGAAGCACGGCAGAAGTGTGCAGGGGCTAAAGGTGAGAGGGTCAGGGGTCTACAGCACAGCTGGGACAGGGCTCAAGATAGTGGAGTCAGAGGTCAGAAGACTTGAAGGCGGGCAGTTCTCTGGTGACTTATCATCTGCTCTTCTGAATGCTCAAGAGCCAGAGGCCTAACCAGTAAGGGACAGGCTGAAAGCATCTGAACAACAGGCAGCCTTTATGTTGGCCCACAGCTCCAGGCTGGCCTCCACGATGGGGATGTCCAGGGCGGAGAAATATCCAGAAACTCTGAAGCATCACCTCCTTGGTTCCCTCATCCAAAGGTGAGAAATACCAACAGCAGAGCCCATGAGAGACTTGGGTTTCTTGGTTATCAAATGAATTTAAAAAAAAAAGAAAAGAAAACCCTCTCCCAAAAAGCAAAAAAGACAAAAAACAAGCCCAAAGCTGTCTAAATCACCATCACGATTTCTCCAGCTCAGGGAGTTAGACTGAGAATTAGACATAATTCTTAGTGGGGTACTCGGGGGCACACGGAGAGGTGGCATGTGCGGCAGATGCTGAGTATCGGGCCATATAATGACTTGAGCTCCGGGACCCCCCAGAGGGGCAGGTGCAGCACAGCAGCCCCCCACCCAACAACAAAAGGCCAGAGGCTGCCCAGCCCAAGTAGAGGGAGGCTCCCAGCTCCCGCTTTTGGGCGTCTGACACGAGGGGGTTGTAGAAATCCCGGATGATGGCGTGGGCCGTCCAGCAGACAGGGATCAGGGTCAGGATCCCTGAGATGACAAAGATGATCCCAGAGACTAGCACCAGACGGGCCTTGGAGTCCTTGTCTTCCACGCAGGTGGTGCACTTGGCTCCCGCGAGGTAGACTAGCAGCCCGAGCAGGGCCAAGAGGAGGGCGACGACGCAGAGGGCGCGGGCAGCCTGCAGGTCCTGGGGCAGCGCCAGCAGGGAGTCGTACACCTTGCACTGCATCTGGCCTGTGCTCTGCACCACGCAGGACATCCACAGCCCCTCCCACACCACCTGGGCCACCACGATGCTGTTGCCGATGAAGGCGGTCACCTTCCACAGGGGCAGGGCACAGGACACCAGGGCATTCACCCAGCCAAGCAGCGTCAGGATGATCCCCAGGATTTGCAGGCCAGCAGAAGCCATGGCAAAGTGGAGGGGGACAGGAGCTGCATTGAGAGACGAAGGAAGCAGACTCATGAGAGAGAGGACAGGCTGGTCCAGACCCTTTGTTCCCAGTGAGTGCTAACTCTCATGCCACATGCGTGGCCACCGCACAGGGCACCGAGAGAGTACAAACCCAGGGAGTAAGGACACCATGGGCAAGGCACACTTCTCGAGCCTCATTTTCTCACGGGCAAAACGAACACTTAATGTTTTGTAATTTTTACCTTGGTTATGCGATTGTCACCCAGTCCTGGCCGTTTTGAGGGCAAATGAGACACAAAGCCTTTACCCATGTTAGTCCATGGCCCCAGCCACTTTGCACTTTGCGTGCGTTTATCAGACAGCAAAGTAGCAAGAAAAGGATGAAACAACAGAGGGCAATTTCCAGATGGCCTCCTTGGGATTCAGACGGTGGGTTGGCTCTGGCCATGACTGTCAGGCTCCAAACCTGTCAGTTTCAACATCAAGATCAGAGATCCAGGCTTCCTTCCACTACCCAATAGCAGTGTCCAAACCCCTCACTGGTTCTGTATCCCCAGGCGGGTAGTGACATTTGTGTCTCAGGTGACCCCGCCTCCCTGGCCTTGCTACAGTCAAATTCTAGAGAAGCAGGAGAAATAAAACAAAGCACCCCAAAGGGAAAAAACACCCCCCAAATCACTCCTTCTCCAAGGCTGTGTGCCCCCCCCCCAACCCCAGGGTCACAATGAGCATACCCTCCAAAGTTGGGAACATTTTCTTGTGCCTTCTTGCCCCAAATGCCATCGTCTCAGGACTCAATTCCGCTAAAAGGACCTAAACCCTTGGAGTGTGTCCAGTGAACCGGTCCCTCTGGGGCAGCCCCGGGCCCCCTCACATCCCACTTAGTGCTGTGGCTGGCTTCGGGGCGGTTCTGTTCAGGGTCCGGCTGTGGCTCTCCATTACACAAAGTTCCCGCGCACGATTTGGACTTAACCTCGCGCGGGTCCCAGCAGCGTGGCCAGAGGCCAGAGCGGGCTCCCCTCCTGTGCATCCCGCCCAAACCCGCGGTAATGACCTCGGGGGAGATCGGACGGCAAGACCCCGCTCATCCCGACCCCGGGGTCGGCCCTCCACGCCTCCAGCCGGGTTAGGCCCGCCCAGGCGCCCCGCACGCGCCCCGCACCTGCCCCGCACCTCCAAGACCCTACCCCTTCCCTCGACCTCTTCTCTTTCCGCACACCGCCGGGTCGGCTTGCGCCGACGGCGCCCCCTCCTGCTCTCGAGCCCTATTTCCTTTGCGAGTCCGACCAGAGGAAGGGTCCGCGGGCCCCAAGCCCCGGAGCCGCGCTGCGGGACGGGCTTAATGGCCGCGTGATCAGCAGGGTCCGCTCCCGAAGGGGAGGGGGAGGGGGAGAGGGAGGGGGAGGGGAGCCCCGCCCCGGAGGGCAGCGCAGGTGGGGGAGGGGCGCCCGGGTTTCGGTGCCTTTGTCCGGGGGGGAGGGGCGTTTAACCCTTCCGTGGCTGCAGAAGGACTTGAGGAGCTCCGCGGCTCCAGGCAGACCCCGCCCGGGGGCTGTGCCCGGTGTCCGCCACCAGGTTAGTCTAGGTTCTCTGCACGCACCCCCACCCACGCCGCCACGCCCCCTGCACCCCACTCCTCGCGGAATCCGCCTCTTCCCCTCACCCCCAGGCTCACCTGCGAAGAGGCCCACCGGGATTCGTAGGAGCCGCCGAGTGTGTGGCCGGGGCGGAGGCGGGGGTCTTAAAGAGGTAGTGACGTCAGTGGACCACCGCCCCGGGGAGGGGCAGAGACCCCATTCCGGACCGCGGGCGCGCGAATCCCAACCTCTTCTGCTGGGGTCGCTGGAGCCCGGGGCCGCCCCGCCTGCCTGTGGCCCGGGCTCGGGGACCTCAGCCGGCTGAGGCCGGGCCCGCAGGAACTCAGGGCCCAGGGCCCGGGGCTTGGAGCCAGACGGAGCTGGCTCCGGACTCTGCTACTTCCTAGTGGGGGACCCCGGGAACTCACCTAACCCGCCCAAGCTTCAGCTTCATACTCGGCAAAATTGGAGACAGCAAGCCCACATTTTACTGTGTAGCTATGTCCTAAGGTAGAAATTAAAGACATTATTATTATTATTGGTTATGTTGTTATCATAATACCCCGGGGCCGCTAAGAAAGCTGCAGTTATCGTTGAGGCGGGTGCTTCGTGTCTGACCCCCCCCCCCCGCCCCCAACTTCCCGGACTTCAGCATCCACAGGGCAGGGCCGGGCCTGCGGACCTGCCGGGGTCCCAGACGCTGGCGCACCGCGCTAGCGTTTGTTGAGCGAATGCCTGAACGCAGCGGGCCGGCCGGGCGGGGCGGGGCGGGGCGTCCAGGAGCCGGGCGCCGGGCGGGCCGAGGGAGGGCGCCGCCCCGGAAGGCGGGGGCGGAGGCGGGGCGGCCGCTGTCCCTCCCGGCCCGCGCGCGGCGGGTTCAGACGGCCGCGGCCGCCCGGACGCGCACCATGGTTTTGGGCCCGCTGCGTCCGCTACCGCGGCTCCTGGTGCTGGGGCTCGGGCTGGCCCTGCTGGGCGCGGCGGCCGGGGAGCGAGTGCCAGGTACGCGGGCCGCGGGGCCCGGGCGGGGCGGGAGGCCGCGGGGCCGGGGAGCCGGAGAACGGGACTGAACTGGGGCGAACTGGGCGGACATGCGGATCCGGGCTTGGGCGGTCTTCAGACACCGCCTCCCTGGCCAGGAGAGGCTCATCCCGCTCCGGACTTCATCCGCAGTCCTGGCCTCAGTTTCCCCCCTGTTCAGAGGTGGGTGGGGGCGGCTTCTGTCCTAAGTCCAGACTCCGAAGTAGCGGGAGAAAGTTTGAGGGCGGCACGCACGTGAGGGTGAGAGAGCACGCCCCTAGCCTGTTCAGTGCCTGGTCTGTGTAGCCCCAGGGGTCGAAGAGCACGGGGGTCTGTACCCCCTATACCATGTGGGGTGCCCCCTTCCATCCGGTGACCTCAGTGCCCAGCTATGCGGGGGGAGGGACCGGGGTCGGGCCCGGTGCCCAGGAGTGAGTCATCCGCCGGCTGCGGGGGGTGTGTGTGTGTGGGGGGGACCTGACCGCCCCCCCCCACAGCGTCTCGCGCTGGGCCCCCCTCTCCCCTGCGCTGCCGAGTCCCGGTCGGGCCGTGCGGTCACCTGTGAGGAATGCGCGGGGAGAGCGCCGGTGACTCACGTTATTCGAGCCGGCCGACCCTGACCTCAGCCCCCAGAATAGCCGTGCCCCGCCCCAGCTCTGACCCGTGGCCCCCTCCCCAGGCACCACCCCCTGCTCTCGCGGCAGCTCCTGGAGCGCGGACCTCGACAAGTGCATGGACTGCGCGTCGTGCCCGGCGCGACCGCACAGCGACTTCTGCCTGGGCTGTGAGTGGGGGCGGGGCCGGGGCAGGCGGGCCGCAGATGGGAGCGGAGGGTGGACGGGGAGCAGTGGGCTTCAGATCTGGGGGGTTAATCGGGAAGGGGGGTGGGAGGCGGGGTGAGGAGCGAATCGGGGCGGGAGCCGCAGCGGGGAAAGGCTCAAGGGGGGGCGGGGCCGGTACCGAGAGGGGCGAGATCTAACTCGGAGCCCCGCCCCCAGGCGCTGCGGCCCCTCCAGCCTCCTTCCCTCTGCTGTGGCCCATCTTGGGGGGTGCTCTGAGCCTCGCCCTCGTGCTGGGACTGCTTTCTGGCTTCTTGGTCTGGAGACGGTGCCGCAGGAGAGAGAAGTTTACCAGTAAGTGTGCCAGCCCACCCCACCCCCCATCATTCCTGAACACCGCCCCTGCTCTTGACCACCCCTCTTCTTATCTTGCAGCCCCCATCGAGGAGACCGGCGGTGAGGGCTGTCCTGGCGTCGCACTGATCCAGTGACAGTGAGAGCCCTTGCCAGCACCAGGCCCCACCCACTCATCATTCATTGATTCATTGATTCATTCATTCTGGAGCCAGCCCCCTCACCCCAGTAACAGAGCCAGACTCTTCCAACCACAGGGGTGTGGAGATGGAGGACTGGTGAATCACCTCTCTGAGGCCTCGGCCCAGGCTTCAGAGGAGGCTTCCAAGGTGTCTGACTGCCCTGTCTCTGGCTCTAGGACAGGAAAGGAGACCACCTGGCTCACCAGACAGCTGACACTAAGGAACTGCAGCATTTGCACAAAGGGTCCCTCCCTCCACCCCCATGGCCTCAGGGCCAGGCTGACTCAGATGTGCTGAAATTCCACCCTGGGGTCTCTGTCTGGGGGGTTAGGGACCTGTTGCTAACACTAGGGGGCTGGCCCTCTAGGGGGGCTGGCCCTAAGACACTGTCCCCCCCAACCCCCAAAGGGGGGGAAATATTTATTTTGGGGAGAGAGTTTGGAGGGGAGAGAGAATTTATTAATAAAAGAATCTTTAACTTTAAATGGTTCGGAGTGTGGCATGATCCCCAGCCCGACTTCCCAGAGCTGGAGGGAGGAGTGAGTCAGCCGCGGGGGCGGGGGTGAGGCTCTGACTCACACATTCTCAATGCCTGAGCCCAGCCTGCCAGGCCTTGGCCAGGCCCTGACCGTTTTTTCCAGGGAAGATTTTGAGAAACCCCAACCATCCAGCACTCCAGCCTTCCCACCTTCCTTCCCAAAGGCCCCAGGGTTCCAGACTGAAGCCTTTATTTGCTCAGCAATCTTTATTCAGTTTCTAGGGGGGGAAGTGCCCCCCTTCTCATGCTCCTGTCCCTTCTGCCCCTCCCACCCCAGGGCTCTGTGGGATTCAGTGTCCTCCTCTGTTGAGGGTAGGTCCTGGGGCCCAGAGGCCTGGTCTGGAGAATACACGGAACAGCTGATCCCTTAGTGGGAATGCTGGTCTTCTCTGTTGTGGGGAGGGAGGGTGGGCAGTATTTCTGCCCACCAGCACTCAGAGCTCCGTCATCTCCCCAGTTTGGGTTGCAGGGTAGTGAGGGGTAGGGGAGTCCCCTAGCCTCAGCAGCCGGAGGGCCTCAGGGATCAGGTTCCCAGGGTAGCGCCAGAGAAGCAGCTCAGAGCAAGGGCTCCTGTTAAAGGAAATAACAGCATGGGGCTGAGGCTGGCCTGGAAGAGCCACCTCCCACCAGGTCCAGGTCCCTAAGAGCTCTTGGGCTGCCAGCACCTTCCAAGGAGCCAAGAGGGGAAACAACAGAGGTTGGCTAGAAGCTAAAAATAGCAGGATGAGGCAGGGCCTAGACATTGGCTCCAAAGATCGGGTGTGATCCTCCAGAAGGCCCAGCCGGTGGTCAGTGGATGGTGCCTACCTGAGTGGGGGCAGAGATGGGGGGAATGCCAGGGGGGAGCTGCAGTAAGGGTGGTCATTGTGCAGGCTGAGTCGAGAGAAGTGGGTGGCCATGTTCTCTTCAGAAAGAAACTGTTTGCGCAAGGGCTCCCTGGGGAGAGACAGGAAGGAAGACAGGCAGGCTGGGATATTCACATGAGTGACAGTCTGATGGGGACCTAAGGTGACAGAGGTCTTGTTGGGAGTCCCTCCCTGCCCCCAAACTCACTGCTCCTCCTCCAGGCGCCGCTTGGTGCTCATGGGCACAGCTCCTCGGAGAGGGGAGCTGGGAAGAAAAGAAATCCAGGTGCACCCCACCCTCTTGGCCCCATCCCCAGGATCTGCTCTCCAGTGCCTGCAGTTCTAAGCCGAGAAGCCCCCAGGCCATTCATCTCAGTTGACACCTAGTCACCTCCCTCTCCCAGGCCTGCCAGCAGCCTGCCTTGGAACTCTCAGCCCAGTCTCGGCTTATGCCCAAGCCTTGCCGACTTGCTCCACCGCCTGTCATCTTGCAGACCAGCCCTGAGCCCCCTGCCAAAGCTCCTGGGTCCCTGAGCCAGGCCCACCCGGTGCCCCTACACACACCTCACGTCCTGGGCTCGGGGCGTCCCCGACGCGGCCCGTGGGTCGCGCTGGGCCCGGCCTGGGGGGCCTCGTTCCAGGGGTTGCTGTAGAATCATTTGGGTTCGGGGTCCTGCGAACAGAGGGTGGGATCCGGGGGACAGGGCGGAGTCTCAGAGGGCGTGGTCCAGCGCGCGGGGCGTGGGTTTTGGCGCGCGCAACGGCGAGCTTCCGCGCAGGCGCGGAAGACGAGCGACGCGCGGCTGGAAGGCGGGTCGGGTCGGGTTGGTGGGTGGGGGAGGGGAATCTGGCGTAGCGGGGCTGCGGTGGGGCGCTACTTAGTGTTGGGAATTTTCGCGGCAGTCACCTGGGCTCCTGAGGCTCTGGGGAGTACTCGGCGGTTGCCTTCGCGCCGGACAGGCTGGCGGTGTTGGGGCCGTGCGGCGCCGAGAAGGGGAACCGCTCGCGGGCACGTTCGGACTCGTGAAGCTGCGTCGCGCTGAGCACTCTGGGATTTGTAGTTCTCGAGATGGAGCGCGCTGTGCCACACGCGGTACCTCTGGGTCAGGTGAGGCGGGCGTGGTGAGCGGCGCCTTCTGGGGTTTGTAGTTCATGCCCGGCTCGGAAGGGGCAGGCAGGGAGTTGTGCCCTGAGCCCTGTTTTGCGCGGGACTCGGACTCTGACCCGGGAGCGGGAGGGTAACCTAGTAGGATCTTAGGGACCTAATATGAAAGTGGGAGGGTAGGGATTAGAAGTCAGTATGTTTCTCTGTTCTGGGGAAACGGAGCCATGTGTTAAGCGCTTTGTAGGAGACAGTTGTCTGCGAAGCTTTAGGTGCAGTAGCTCGGACACTTGTGACCAAGTCCCCTGGGAGCTCCATATGACCTTGAGGAACCTTGGGGGCCAGCCTGGGTGCTTGCCAGGGTCCTGGTAGAAGTCTTGCCTCACCTGCCCACTTCCTCACCCTGTTCTTGGACCAACCCCTGGGCTATACGGGCAGGCACCCACTTGGTGGGGCGCCTCAAAGGCCGGCTGCGAGATCTGGGCTGTGGGAGAGCCCAGCAGGCAGGAGGGAGTCGGAATCTCGAGTCCTAGATGTCCCAGGTGGCTCTCATCCAGTCTCTCCCCACAGATGGAAGTGTTTCAGGCTCTGCAGCGGCTCCACATGACCATTTTTTCCCAGAGTGTCTCCCCCTGCGGGAAGTTCCTGGCAGCTGGCAACAATTACGGGCAGATAGCCATCTTCAGGTACCCTCACTCCTGCTTCACCACCCAGTAGTAGTTCTAGCACTTGTACTCTCTGGGACTGGTGCCCTCGGCTTCTGACTCTCAGGCTCCCCTCCTCTATTCCTTCAGCTTGTCTGCTGCTCTGAGTTCTGAGGCCAAAGAAGAAAGTAAGAAGCCAGTGGTGACATTCCAAGGTGGGTGCTGCCATTGTGTCTGGCTTAGAGAACCCCCAGGTAGGGGAGGGCAGCAGGACAGGGTCACTCAGGGTCTTCATTTCCATCTAGCCCATGATGGGCCGGTCTATAGCATGGTCTCCACGGATCGACATCTGCTCAGTGCTGGGGATGGGGAAGTGAAGGCCTGGCTTTGGGCAGAGATCCTCAAGAAGGTAAGGAGTGTGGAATTGGGGGACGGGCTGGGGTGCCTGGTCCCAGAGAGCCTCTGACCTCGTAGCATTTCCCTCCACCAAGGGTTGTAAGGAGCTGTGGCGGCGTCAGCCCCCATACAGGTGAGTGAGGGCCATGTGGGTAATGGGTAGAAGGTACTTGGGGGTGAAGGGACTGCCTCACCAGAGCTCACCTCGCTTTCTCTCTCCCAGGACCAGCCTAGAAGTGCCTGAGATCAATGCTTTGCTTCTCGTCCCCAAGGTCTGAGCCCTTTGTACCGGGGCTCTGCCCTGCCCAAACTTAAAGCCTTTTCCCTCTCCCTGTCCTGATTTGATGCTGACTTGCGATTCCACCCTTCCCTCTTCTGCAGGAGAATTCTCTCATCCTGGCAGGGGGAGACTGTCAGTTGCATACGATGGACCTTGAGACCGGGACCTTCACAGTGAGAAGGCCATGGAACTGGGGTGGTCAGGGCTGGATGGTCGTAGGGGCATTCTTCCTGGATCTCCTCCTGACACTGGGCTTCCTCTCGCAGCGGGCCCTCCGGGGCCACACAGACTATGTCCACTGCCTGGCGCTGCGGGAGCGGAGTCCCGAGGTGCTGTCAGGTGGAGAGGATGGAGCTGTGCGACTTTGGGGTAGGTTAGCGAAGTGTCCGGTTGGAGGGAAACATGGCAAGGGAGACTGGGGCGAGCAGGATGCTTCTCATGGTTCTTCCCGCACAGACCTCCGCACAGCCAAGGAAGTCCAGACCATTGAGGTATATAAGCATGAGGTAAGGGCACGTACCAGGCCCCGTCCTCCCTTTCACCGTCCTGGGCATCCCCTGTGTCTTCATCTCCTTCTCTCTTCTCCTCCTCACCCCTAGGAGTGCTCGAGGCCACACAATGGGCGTTGGATCGGCTGTTTGGCAACTGACTCAGACTGGATGGTAAGCGGGGCAAGGTGCAGAATGGGTGACCACTCCGGGCCCTGCCAACTGAGGGCCTATGCTCACAGTGGTTGGGGCCCCCCACCTTTCTGCCCAGGTCTGCGGAGGAGGCCCAGCGCTCACCCTCTGGCACCTCCGATCCTCTACACCCACGACTATTTTCCCCATACGGGTGCCACAGAAACATGTCACCTTCTACCAGGACCTGGTGAGGCCCTCTGTCTTGCTTCTGCCACCTTTGCCCAGTACCCCTCTCCAGTCCTGACTCCCTCCCTGCCCTCCAGATTCTGTCAGCTGGCCAGGGCCGCTGTGTCAACCAGTGGCAGCTGAGTGGGGAGCTCAAGGCGCAGGTGCCTGGCTCCTCTTCAGGGCTGCTTAGCCTCAGTCTCAACCAGCAGCCAGCAGCACCCGAGTGCAAGGTGGGTCCTGCAAGGGGCTGTGGGGGTCCAAGGGGGGGGGGTTGGGCACGTGTGTGTGGACATGCCAACCACTGCCTTCCTGCTTCCAGGTCCTGACAGCCGCAGGTAACAGCTGCCGAGTGGATGTCTTCACCAATCTCGGCTACCGCGCCTTCTCCCTGTCCTTCTGACCTCTGGCAACACCCCTTTCATCCATCCCAGGGATTTAGATTGCTTTTTTTTTTCCTTATTTTATTAAATAAGTAAATTTTTAGGCTATTGTTCCATGAATGTTCTTCTCAAGAATGGAGGCTAAGTTGGTGTCATGATTTTTATATATTACTGTTTGATCTTGATACATAAATACCCACCCTTATCCCTGCCCTGCAGCGCACCAGGCCCTTAGAAAATATAGACCTATAGAGATTCAAAACTCAGCTCTGCCTCACCTGCCCCGCCACCCACCTGGGGCCCTTGGCCCCCAGAGCTGGTCCCTGCTCCCAACGAGCCTTTGCCCAGCTTCCCGGGGTGGGGAGGGCACCAGCCCCCTCTGGAAGACACTCAGGGCCATTAGAGGAAAGGAAGCCAGAAGGCACTGGCGGCCCCCATGGCCCGGCCTTCAGGTCCTTCGGAAGAGGTTGCTTAGGAAGCCGCCGGCGGGCCCAGGACCCAGGCGCAGCGAGAAGCGCGGGGTGGCGCGGCGCGGGGCTGCTCCCGCCGCACTTAGCTCCTTCTGTCGTTGGGAGCGCAGCTGCTGGCCGATCACCACCTGCATGTCGTCCTGCGGGCGGGGCCGGGGGCCGGGGGCCGGGCGGCTCAGTCGGTCTGCTTGGCCGCGTGGCCGCGTGGCCGCCCCTCCCAGGCGCCGGCCCCGCCCCCGCCAGGCCCCGCCCCTCACCTGCCAGGCCTCCAGCTCTTGCGTCAGCGCCACCTTCTGGCGGATAGTGCGAAGCAGCTCCCGGGAGAGCGAGTCCCGCTCCAGAGAGACGCGGCCGAGCTCCAGGGACAGTTCCAGCGCCCTGCGGGCAAGAGGGGCAGAGAGTGGGCCCGGGGGTGGCGGGAGCTGCCGGACCCGGACGGGAGCGGTGCGGCTAACACCGAAAACGGTCGGAGGGCCGCTGGTGGGTGCGGAGGCTGGGGTGGACGGTGGAGAGGCTCACTTGTTCACAGCTTCGTCCCGGTCCGAGAGGGCTCCGCTGAGGGCCTCGTCGGGGTCGCCATGCGTCCGCAGCTCCTTCTGCCTTTGCAGCTCCTCCCGCAGAGACTGTAGCTCTGCCCGCTGCAGCGCGACCTGTGGGCAGGGAAAGGTGAGGAGGGGCAGCCAGGCCCTCCGCCAGCCCCACAGACCCTCCCCGCAGCCGCAGCCTGTGCTGGAGACCAAGCTGAGCCCCCCCGGCTGGCGCAGGGTGAGGTGGGGCAGGGTCGGTTGGGTGGTGTAAGTCTGCAGAAAGGATGCTGGGGGAAGCACTAGGAGGTGGGACCAAGGAGGGGAATGCGGTCCAGGAAGTCTTCCTGGAAGAGGTGGTGTATGGCCAGGTCTTGAAGCATGACTACAGGTTTGTTGGGATGAAGATAGATCCAGGTAGAGGGGCGCAGGCTCAGAGGTGTAGATGGGCAAGAGAAACTGGCATTGGGACGGGCTCCGCGTCCAGCGCTATGCTCCCACTCCCACACCTCATCCTGCAGCCGGGCCACTTCGGCCTCCTTCTCCTCTAGTATCTCCCCTGGCCTCAGGGATGCTCGCTTCTTGGGAGGCTCCAGGCTCTCCTCTTGGGGCGAAGGCTGGTGGCTGAACGCCTCTTGGATCTCGGGGGACGGAGTGTTCTGTTGACCAAAGGGATGGGTCAGCGAGGTGTCGGACCTCCTGCGCGAAGCGGGCGCGGCGGAGTCTACAGGGCACCGGGGCCGGGGGCCGCCAGCTCACCGGGGCAGCTCCGCGGGCGTCAGCCTTCGGGTCCTGGCCGCTGTCGAGGCTGTGAGCCAGCTCCGACTGCAGTGAGGCTCCCGACACGTCGGCGTCCCGAAGGCGCGACTCCTCCTCCAGCTCCGAGACGCGCCTCTGCAGCCCCCGCAGCGCTCTCAACGCCTCCCCCGCCTCGCAGCGCGCGCGCTCCAGCTGCGGAGGGACAGACAGGCGGACAGGAGCATGCGCAGTCCGCCCCGTGCGCCCGGCGGCCTCATCCCGCCTCGACCTGCTGGGGGCGCCGGCGCGCCATCGAGAGCCGGGCAGCCCGCGCGCCGTTGCGCCCCAGCAGCTGGCTCCTCTCCAGACCGCCGGCCCGCGGCCTTGGGCGCGCAGTTGCCCCCGGCGGATACCAATTTCCTCATCTATAAAGCAGGGTGCGGACAGGTGCCCTCGCTTTAAATTTTCCCATCACCCTCCCTCCAGCCCCGCCTCATCAGGTCACCTGGCCGAGTCCCTCCCCTTCCCCCAACCGGTTGGCCCAACTCGTTAATGGGTCATCCAGCGCCCTACTCGTGTCTCACCCTCACTGCCGCTCTCTACCATTCCCATCCCATCTCGCAGACAAGGAAACTGAGGCTGGGCGTCCCACAATAGTAAGACGGGGTGTTGGATGACGGGGTGTTGGGATAAGAGCCCATAATATTTGACCACAAAGACCTCAAACATTGGGCCATGCTGCCTCTTGTCATTTCCTTTTGCTCATCTCCACTGCCCCAGACCTAGTCCAAGTCCTGGTCATCTCTGGCCCCAGCCTCCGCCCTGGCCTCCCAAGTGCCAGGTTCTGATGCCCTCTAAAAGCATACCACCCCTGCTGAATACCCTTCTGAGGCTCCCACTTGCCCTTTGGCTAATGCCCAGGCTCTCCTGGCCCAGCTTCTGGGGCTCCCAGTGATCCAGCTTGGCCTCATCTCCCAGGAAGCCCTGAGGCAGTGGCCAATGCCCTGGTCAGATGCACCCACCCCGCCCAGCCCCACTGGTCACCTCCAGGCTATGCTCTCGCTTCTTGCGCCTCAGCAGCAGCAGCTCTTCATGGGTTGCCTGTAGCCTGCCCTGGCCCTTCTCCACCTCCTCACGCAGGCCCCGGATCTGGGCCTCCAGGTCCTGCCGGCGGCTCTGCAGCATCTGGTTCTGGGGAAAGACCTCAGGGCTGGAGGGGAAGTGCTGGGCCAGCCCCAGATGGCCCCCAGCCCCAGCTGGGACTCACCTCCCCTTGCAGACTCTCCAGCCGCGTCCTCAGCTCTGCTCCTGCCAGGACCTGAGCCTGGCACTGTCCCCGAAGGCCATCCAGTTCCCTCTGAAGCTCCTGCTCAGTCTGGGAGGCCTGTAGAGGGGAAGGCGGGGGAGGCCTCGCTGGTCCAAGCCTTACCACCAAGCCCAGTGCACCCACCCCCACACGGGGACACAGTCATCTGCCCTGGTCCTGCCTGGGGACGTGGGGTCAGCGTGCTCCCACCTGGGCCAGCTGCTGGCTGAGCCGGAGGTTCTGCTCGCTGAGTTCAGTGAGGGCCCGTGCCCGCTCACGCCCGCTGTCCTGCTGCTCTGAGCGCTGCTCCCCGAGCTGGGCCCTTAGGGCCTCCACGTCCCCCTCCAGCTCCACCGCTCTGGCCTCCCACTCGGCTCCCCGGGCTGCCAGGCCCTGGCGGAGCTCATGGTTCTCCTGCTGCAGCCGCTGTGGGGCCGCGACACAGAGTCAGGGACAGGGAGGTGAGGCAGTAAGCACGCAGACCCAGAGGGCGTCCGAGCGGCCCAGACAGGCAGACACGCCAAGCAGGGAAGCCAGCGGGAGGAGCAGGCAGGGAGCCTAAGGCAGAGTCTCGGGGAGGAGGGTTTCCCGGTCAGGAGGAGCTGACCAGGACTGGAGAGGAGCGGGGCTCCCCGATGCCCACTCACCTCTGGCTGCTGCCTGGGCTTCTGGAGCCGAGATCGCAGGCGCCGTTTTTGGCGTCTGAGTCTGGCAGAATGGAAGCCCCGGCCCATGGCCTCGCACACCGATGCTCCAGGGGCTCTGGAGGTTCAGCCTCTGCTCAGCCCCTCACCCCCAGCGCCTCTTGGCCAGCTCCCTCTAATTAACCCTGGCCAGCCCCGCCTGGGCTCCGTGCCTCTGCGTGCCCTCCCCAAAACCTGTCCAACCAGCAGGGGGACGCTCTTGGCACACCCAGGTCCCCCGCTTGGGGAGGCGGCAAGTGGGGGGGGGGCAGCTTCGCCCCCCCCCCCATAAACTCTCAAAGCAGGAAGGTGGTACTGACCGTATCGCTGCTGCAATTATTAGCAGGCGCTCCTGCCAGGCCTATTGCTACTGTTTTCCTGGTATCATTTCATTTAATCAACCACAGTTAGAATCGTTAATGTGCTTATTTATATATGAAAAGCCTGAGGCTCAGAGAGGTTGAAGGCCCTGCCCAAGGACACACAGTAAATTAGTGAGGCAGGGATTCCAACCCAGGTGGCCAAACTCTTAAGCAAATATCGGGGAGCAACACAGTTCTAGGATTGGACTCCCCAGGGTCAGGATCCAACTGTCCTGGATGGTGCCCCGCTCTGCTGCTGCTTTGTGGTTAGACAACTCCCTTAATGTCTCCAGGTTCCAGCCATGTAGCCACCCGCCCAGTGTTTCCTGAGCTCCTCCTGTTGTGGGATCTGGCTATCTGCAGTCAGTGAGACCGCCAAGCTCCCTGCCTCCAGCAGCTGAGTCTAGAGAGTCACAGGCAAACGGACAGGGGTAGGTTGGGGTCCTTTAAAGAGAAGCAATGTTCGAATTCACACCTAAAGCACAGGAAAGAAGAGGACTACACCGAGGAATGGCAAGTGCAAAGGTCCTGAGAACACACACAGGTTACTCAAGGCCCTGCAAAGAGGTCCTGTGGGAGGACAGTGGCGCAGCAGCCGAGGCCGCACTTGGGGACTGTCAGGCCTTGATGAAGAGTCTCAGTGTCATTGTAAATGTGATGGGGAGCTGCCGGGAGATTTTAGGCAAGGACCGAAGTGATCATATTTGCAATTTTTGGAGATCCCTCTGGCTGCCTTAGAATGGAGCACGGAGAATGGGCTCCAGGGGGCAGAGAGTGGAAGGGGGGACAATTGTGGAGGCGGGTGCGGGGCTGGGTCAATGTTGGCTGCGGCTAGCTTGGTAGCTGGAGAGACCATGAGAAGTGGGAGGATTAAGAATCTAGTTTAGGGGCAGCCCGGGTGTCTCAGGGGTTTAGTGCTGCCTTCAGCTCAGGGCATGATCCTGGAGACCCGGGATCGAGTCGCACATCGGGCTCCCTGTGTAGAGTCTGCTTCTCCCTGTGTCTCTGCCTCCCACCCCGTGTCTCTCGTGAATAAATAAATTAAAAAAAAATAATCTAGTTTAGAGGCAAGATCCACAGCGCTTGCACACGGGGGAGAAGCGAGGTCATGAGCTGCTCAGGCTCTGGTCCTGAGGTGGGAAGCCGGGATGAGGACCACACGTGATGGGGGCAGAGAATCAAGATTGCAGCTTATGTTGAGATGCCCATTAGGTGGCCTGGGGAGGGGGTGTGGGGCATAAGCTCCCCAGGCCCATCTCAGGGCAGTGGTTGGGGCTACCTGGATGCTGGAATCAGTGGTGCCCAGGGTGTTTAGGGGGCCAGATGTGACCCCCCAGAATAACTTTGTGGCTGAGGACAGCCTGGGCAGAGGGGGGATTTCTTCCTACATCACAGGATTAGGTGAGAGTCGGTGGAGGTAATGCATGGAAAGGGCTTCAGGCAGGGCGGGTGTTCAGTAACTGCTGGCTGGGGTTCTGCCATCCTGCTGAGGAGCCAGACCCAGGATTCACAGAAGGCCAGTGGCTTACCCAGGGTCACACAGCCAGGCAGAGTCTGAACCCACATCTGGACTTGACCTCAGAGCCTATGTCCTACACCATGGAGAATACTCCCAGGAAGACAGCCCAGTCCTGAACGCGGTTGCAGGCATCCCCTGCCTGGCCGTCCTCCCCCTGCCCACTGGCCTGGAGCCTCCTCCCTGTCCACTGCCCGCTCCCCACCCCCCGCCTGGCCCTGCCCCTGCAGCCAGCTCACTTCCTCACGCTCAGCGTGCTGGGTGCTCAGTGTCTCCAGCTGCCGCTGTAGCTCCTCATTGCGCTCCAGAAGCATCTTGCCAAGCTCCGCGGCCAACAGCACATCCTTCTCCTTCTGCTGCAGCTGTAGGGCCAGGTCCTCAGGCTCCTCTGGCCCTGGGCCCCCTCCCAGGAAGGAGTCCCTCCTTTCCAGCACAAAGGGGAAGAAGCCCTCATTGCCACTGGGGGAGGCACCTCCTGAGAGCAGCCCTGACAGGAAGCTTGGTCCTTGGGGGGAGCTCATGGCACCTGCAACATCTGTGGGCACAGGTGGGTCAGTGGGGACAGGTAGCTACAGCACACTCTACTCTGCAGCCAGGGGGACCTGCCCCCTGCTGGTCAAGACCTGGCCCTCTCCGTCCTGCAGCCAGGGCTTCCCTGGGCCACGAAGGGTTAATGATCTGTATTTTGGCCACCCAGCTCCGTTAATGTCCCTAGGGTAAACTGAGGCAGGGAGCACAAGGAAACAGCTGCCTTTGGCAGACATCCTCTGCCCCCAGGTAACTGTGCCCCGGTGCCCCAGGACCTCAGGTGCTGAGAGTGCCCCCCCAATTCCCACACCTCAGCTGTTCTGGCTCCCAGCTCCTCAGCAGCAGGGAAACTCTTCCTAGAAACCAAGTTCTCAGAGACTCAGGACTCGGATGAGCGCAGCCCCTTCCCCTCCCAAGAATACCGGCCTTGGGAACGCAGGTGCGCAGACCCGGTCCTGCCATTCTGGAGTGTTGGCCCCAGTTTTCCGGGGCCCAGGTGGCAGGCCCAGGGCAGGGCCAGGTAACAGGTTGTGCCAGCAGAGTGCTGCCTGGCCACTCCAGGTTTCTGTTTACTTCCCGGCCCGCCCTGGGGGACGGCAGCCTGGTGGCACTCTCCGGGGGCTGCTCAGGGCCCAACGGTCCAGGGTCTCAGGGGGAGACCACACAGCAGACTTCCAGGGCAGGGCCCCCCTCCAGCCCTCTGGAAGCCTCCCACTCCCTACACACACGCACACACCTGTCCCTCCTCCTCTCGCCTCTCCAGGTGACCGAGCCCAGCCCTACCCGCGGGACCCGTGGTCCAGGTAGTCCCAGCCCAGCGGGGACCCCGAGTCTCCCTGACGCGGCCCCTGTGGACCCCACCCGCTCCGGAGTCCCGCGGGCGACCCCTGTCCCCCGCCTCCGGCACCGAGCTCCCGGTGGGCACCCCGACCCAGGCATCTGGGCCCCTAGCTCCTCGACCCCCCAGCCCCCAGCCCCCAGCCCCCAGCCCCCCGTGCCTGAAGCGCAGCGACCACCGCCTTCCCGCCGCCGCCCCCGCTGGCGGGGTCCAGCAGTCAGGCCAGGCCTCCCCGTGCCCCGGCGCCCGCGCCCCGACCCTGCCAGCCCGGGGCGCCCCCCAGGCTCTCACCCGCTGCCGCCGCCGGGCTCCTTCCAAGGTCCCCGCGGTCCCCGATCCCCTCTTCCGGAGGCGGTGCCAGGTGCCGGGCTGGCGCAGGTGAGGGGGCGGTGCCGCGGGCGGGACTGGGGCGCCCCCTGGCGGCCCGAATGGCCGGGCTGCGGCCTGCGGCCTCCCGCGGGCTTCCCCGCACCCACCGACCTGCTGCGGTCGGAAGCCACGCCCCGTGGACTGAGCGCCTGCAGGGTGCGGACCCCGCGCCGGGCACAGACTTCGCCCCCTCCCCCCCAACTGCCCTGCGGAATCGGACAGCATGAGAACGACAGGGACGAATAGAACATATTAAGCACCCTGCTAAGGAAGCTCTTTTATGGACACAACTACTTTACTTTTACAACATACTAATGAAGCAGGAACTGTGATCCGCATTTTACAGGTGCGGAAGCCGAGGCTAGGGGTGCCCTAACTTGCTGGGGCTCACTGGCAGAACTTGAATGGGAACCACAGCAGTGTGACTTTGGGGTGCACGCTCTTATGCAGATTCCCTCGCTGAGGCCTTGGCCTGTGTGGTTCCGAACTGGACTCGAGGCTGGACTCCATGCTCCTGTTCAAGGACAGAGGACTGGGCTGGAGACCAGGAGGATTCAGGGCCTGCAGCCGGGACATGTGGGGGGCTGCCCCGGCCATGGCCTTGTGGCTGGTGGGGAATCTCTAGACTCCCAGGGCTCCCTGGGGGTGGTACGGGGCCTCCTGGCCTGGTGGGCGGGGGCACACGGAAGGCTGGAACAGTGGTGTGCTGGTTTTTAATAGCAGGCTTTCAGGGGAAAAAGAAAGCCCCGATTGTTGACTTGGCAATATCGATGTATAGGACTCCCTGCATGGCTGACTTCAAGCTACGGACATGACCTTATGGAACATGAAGTTGGACAGAGATGTGTACTATGGCTTTTGTCAGCTAGTACTGGCTGGCTCCCATACACCCCTGGCTGGCACCAGGACTCCCGAGTCTGGGGGGCCTGGGGGCCTTGCTGCCTGATTCTAGAGAAATAAGAAAGATGGGAGTTGGAACTCCCGACCTGGGGAAAAACGGTGCAAGGACTCATTGGACGTGTGGTTTAGGGGCTAGGACTTCTGGGTCCTGGGAGGGCTGGGACAAGGTTTCCTGCCAACATAGAGTAGGGGTGCCAGTTACCTTTGCAAACAGGTCTGAGGGTTGCAGGGCCGAGGGAGGCCACCATGTTTTCCCACAGCACCTGCGATGACAGCTGGGTGGACTTTGGGGATGCCTCCATCTCCCCTTGGTGCCACCACCTGACCCCCTGAAATGCAAGGATCACCATGAGTCCCACCCACACCCATTCTTAGCACACATTCCCTGACCCCCCCTTCTGCCAGGTAGGAATGAAGTGGTCAGGGCCTTACTCCCAGGTTCGAAAGCCACCCAGGAGCTGGGGTGGGGGTGGGGCATAGATCTATAAACCAGAAACAGACCGATAAAGCAGTACACACAGCAAAGGAGCTTGGCTCGTGCACACTGGCATCACCTGGCTTCGGGCTGAATCTCAGTCTGGTCGCACACCTGTGTTGGTTAGCTGATTAACCTCCGCAGTCCTCACTTTACCAGTCTGCAAAATGGGGGTGATAATAATTGTTAGCTTATAGGGTTGTGGGGCTAAAGGAAGGGTCGAGTCCTGGTGGTGGCCCTCAGCAGGGCCAGAGCAGGCCCATGGAGGTGACTCACCACGCGTGCTCTGGTGTAGCTCCTCCTCACAGCCACCCTGTGAGGTCCGATGGTTCACAGAGCAGACACCAGCTCATGGAGACCCAGAGATCTACCTGTGTCCACACCGGAAGCCCCAGCCCCGCTTGGCAGCCCCAGTCACTCTTTGGTTGTTTGGATCAGTGCCCTGCCTCCTCTGGACCCAGCTGCCCAGACTGGACCTGAGGCCTGGCCTCCCTGCCGGCTCCCTACCCCCCTTCCCCCAGCCTCCCTGCTCATTCCAGGAAGGAAATGGATAGAAGGGCCAGAGTGGCCCCAGGGAGGCCCTAGGGGGGCTGGGACACGTCTAGTGAGGGCAGGGGAGATAACCCAGCCTTACAGGTCTCCAGGCCTGTGCTCGGGCATCCAGCTTCCTGCAGCCTCTGGGCCCATGCCCACCCTAGCACCCTTCCCCCCAGCTGCTGGGCCACTGCCATGCCAAGCCTTGGCTCCGGCGCCTCCAGCCTCGGGAGGCCCTCACAGACCTCGCAGAGCTGGGGCAGCCAAGGCTGGCATCCAGGCCGGCAGAAGGACCCCGCCACGCAGGCAAGCCCATGGGAATGGCCCAGGTCCAGACCCAGGTGCCTTCAGGCTTCTACACAGAGACAAGGTCCACCAACAATTAGTCGTATTGTTTGGAGTGTTTTAAACCTCTATATAAAATGTTTCACACTGGATGCGTTGTTCCTCAGCTTACTTTTTCCACTTAACCTGATGTTTCCAAGTTTCTTCCCATCCAAAAAAAAATCACGAAAAACGCACAAAAAAAATTCAGCTTCATTCAAGTAGGTATTTGTTTCCTAAGGCTGCTGTGACAAAGTACTACAGACCAAGTGGCTGAAACAACAGCAATTTATTGTCTCAGCTCTGGAGGCCAAAAGTCCAAAATCAAAGTGGGGGCAGGGTTGGTTCCTTCTAGAGGCTCTGAGGATGAAATCTGTCCCATGCCTCTCCTAGCTTCCGGTGGCTGCCAGGGGTCCTTGGTGTTCCTTGGTCAGGAAGAGCAGTGCTCCAATCTCTGCCTGCCTCCTCACATGGCCTGGCCTCCCCCTCCAGGTCGTCTCTGTGTATCAGATCTCTCTACTTTCTCTTATAAGGACACTACCCCTTGATGTAAAGCCCACGATTGTCTCATCTTGAGTTTTTGGGTTTTTTTTTTTTAAGATTTTATTTTGGGGATCCCTGGGTGGCGCAGTGGTTTAGCGCCTGCCTTTGGCCCAGGACGAGATCCTGGAGACCCGGGCTCGAATCCCACGTCGGGCTCCCGGTGCATGGAGCCTGCTTCTCCCTCTGCCTATGTCTCTCTCTCTCTGTGTGTGTGTGTGTGTGTGACTATCATAAATAAATAGAAATTTAAAAAAAAAGATTTTGTTTTGTTATTCATGAGAGATACACAGAGAGAGGCAGAGACACAGACAGAGAGAGAAGCAGGCTCCTCATGGAGCAGGGAGCCCGATGTGGAACTCGATCCCAGGACTCCAGGATCACCCCTGAGCCAAAGGCAGACACCCAACTGCTGAGCCACCCAGGGATCCCTCATCTTGAGATCTTTAACTTTCAACTGCAAAACCTCTATTTCCAAACAACGGCACATTCTTGGGGAGTGGAAATTAGGACTAGGACATCTGTTGTTTGGAAACACAATTCAACCCACTACAAGGAATAATTTTTTTTTTTTTCAAGAGAACACAAACGTAAGTCCAGGAAGGAGGAACAGCAGGAGAGGGAGAGAAAATCTCAAACAGATTCCCTGCTGGGCAAGGAGCCCAACACAAGCTCAATCTCAGGACCCTAGGATCATGAATGACCTGAGCTGAAACCAAGAGTCAGACACTCAACCAGCTGAGCCACCCAGGCGGCCCAGGAGTAATTTTTATAGAATAAAATTCACCAAGTTTAGTATCCTCATTTGATGAGTTAACAAATGTCTGTGATGGTATAACTCCTTCCACAATCATAGTAGGGAGCACTTTCTTGATCCCAGAGAGCCCCATGACCCTTTGCAGGCAACCTCTCTCCCATACGTAGCAACCGGCGACCACTGGTTGGCTTACTGTCCCTACCATTTTGTCTTTTCCAGAATGCTCTCTAAATGGAATCATGTATAGTACATGGTCTTTTTGCACCTGGCTTCTTTGACTTAGCAGAACTCTTGGTTTCTGAGATTCATCCATGTTGTATGTATTAATGAAATCAATAGTTTTGAAAAATTTCGAATCTAAAGAAAAATTGTGGGAATTATATAAAGAATACCTCCACGTAGGCTCACAATTGTGAACATTTTGCCACATATGCTTTATCTCTCTCTCTTACACGGCACATACCTGCACACATTTTGCTAAACCATTGGCTACTTCAACTGTCATCTCCTGAGGGCACAGATATTCTATGTAATCATGTACCATTATCACACGTGACAAACTGAACGGTGATAAAATACATACAATAATCTACCTAATATACAGCCCATGGTTTTTTTTAAATTTTTTTTTAAGATTTTTATTTATTCATAGAAACACAGAGAGAGAATGAGAGGCAGAGACAGGCAGAGGGAGAAGCAGGCTCCATGCAGAGAGCCTGACATGGGACTTGATCCCGGGTCTCCAGAATCATGCCCTGGGCTGCAGGCGGCGCTAAACCGCTGCTCCACCGGGGCTGCCCACAGCCCGTGTTCTAATGTTCCCAGTAATGCCCTTTTTATTTTTTTTTTAATGCCTTTTTTAGATGATGTTTTCATTGATCCAGGATGAAATCGAAGACCACATACTATATTTAGCTGCCATTTCTCTTCAGTCTTCTTTACTGTGAAATAGTCCATTGGGTGCCTGGGTTGCTCTATCAGTTAAGCGCCTGACTCTTGATTTCAGCTCAGGTCACAATCTCAGGATCATGAGATAGAGCTCCCGCCCCCCCCTCCCCAACTGCAATCAGACTCCACACTCAGGGGGGAGTCTGCTTCTCTCTCTCCTGCCCGTCACTGTGCTTGCATTCTTGTTCTCTCTCCCTCTCTCTCTCTCAATAAATAGATAAACTTTTTAAAAACGATTTTATTCATTTATTCATGAGAGACACAGAGAAAGAAGCAGAGACACAGGCAGAGGGAGAAGCAGGCTCCCTGTGGGGAACCCGTTGCTGTACTCAATCCCAGGACCCTGGGATCATGACCTGAGCCAAAGGCAGACCCTCAATCACTGAGACACCCAGGTGTCCCATAAATACATAAACTTAAAAAAAAAATAGTCCACTTGTTGGGACGCCTGGCTTGCTCAGTTTATAGAGTGTGCAACTCTTGGTCTTATAGTCATGGGTTTGAGCCCCATGTTGGGTGTAAAGCCTCCTTAAAAAACAAAAGTAAAAAGAGTCTACTTGACCTTTTTTTTTTCTAAGCTTTTATTTATTTATTCATGAGAGACACACAGAGAGAGAGGCAGATACACAGGCAGAGGGAGAAGCAGGGTCCATGCAGGGAGCCCGATGTGGAACTCGATCCTGGGACTCCAGGATCAGGCCCTGGGTCAAAGGCAGGCGCTAAACCGCTGAGCCACCCAGGTGTCTCTCTACTTACTTTGTTATGTGTCTTTCAGGACATTGATTTTTCTTCTTCTTTTCTTTTTTGTTTTTAAGATTTTATTTATTTATTTGACAGAAAGAGAGCACAAGCAAGTGGAGTAGAAGGCAGAGGCAGAAGCAGAGGGAGAGCCTTATGTGGGGCTCAGTCTCAGGACGCTGGGATTACAACCTGAGCAGAAGGCAGATGTTTAACCGACTGAGCCACCCAGGCACCCCAAAATGATAGGATTGTTTTAAATAAGAAATTTCCCCAAAATAAAAATGCCCTGGGGGTCCCTGGGTGGCTCAGCAGTTTAGCACCTGCCTTTGGCCCAGGGCATGAGTCCCACATCGGGCTCCCTGCCTGAGTGGAGCCTGCTTCTCTCTCTACCTGTGTCTCCCTCTGTGTGTGTGTGTGTGTGTGTGTGTGTGTGTCTGATGAATAAATAAATAAAATCTTTTTTAAAATGCCCTGATTTTTCTTTTTTTTAAAGACTCCACGGGGCACCTGGCTGGCTCAGTCAATGGACTGTGTGACTCTTGATCTTGGGGTTGTGAGTCAAGTTGAGCCCCATGTTGGGTGTAGAGATTACTTAAGAATAAAAGCATCTTAAAATAAAAAAAGACTCCAGGCAGCTGTTTTCCAGAATGTTTCTAAGATTTATCCCCAAAGATGCATTTGGATGTAGTTTGTTACTAACTGTATGGTTTTTTCATCCAATGTTTATGCCCCGATTTATTTCTCTACTCTTCTATCAGTGAAGGACTTAGTATTTTGGCACTTTTTCAATGTTTAAACAATGTTCTAATGCACATTGTTGTACACAGACTTCCATGGAAACATGGATGGGAGTCTTATGCTCTTACCCAACCAGAAGCGGAATCAGTAGAGGGGAGGTGTTCCATTGTTCCCCTGCTGTGTAACAACCATCCCATAACTTAGAAGGCTTAAAACAATTATTTGATTTTCTGTTTCACAGGTTTTAGGTCGGTCAGGGTTCTGCTGGGGATTCTTTCTGCTGGGCTCCTATGCAACTGTATGTAAATAGTGGCTGGGGCCAGGATAATCAGAAGTCTTCTTGGCTCCCACATCTGGCACCTGGGCTGGATGGTTGGGTCACTGGATCAACTGGGGCCAGTCAGCATTTCCCTCACCACATGGCCCCTGCCTGTGGCCTGCATGGATGTGCTCACAGTATGGCTATCCCAGACTTCTACATGGTAGCTGCTTCCCCAGCATAAGGATCCAAGGGGCCTGGGAAAACGCTGCAATGCTTCTTAAGACTCGGCCTTGGAGGTTAAGAACCTCAACCTCAAGGAGAATCACTTCTGTGGCATTCTATTGATCAAGTCACTGGGGCCAATCCAGGCTGCAGGGGAGAGGGTTTGATTCCACCTCTCAATGGGAGGAGTAACAAAGAATTTGCAGCCGTCTTTTATCTACCACAGAGGTTATGCTCTTTAGCTTTATGAAATATGGCCAAACTGGTTTGCAAAGTGTAGGTATTAATTTACACTCTGTAATAAAGAATCTGACTCCATGCTTGATGTTTGGTGGTTGACAGCCTTAAAGCCACATGCCTCCCTCTTGCCTTGTGCTCCACATCTGGACAAGCTGATAACAAGGCCCTGGTGCACACTCTCTCTTTCTGGCACTAGAGGGAAATTTAAATCAGGGGACCCCTGGCCAGTGTGGAGGGGCCCTCAGCCCAGCCTCACTCCTTTACCATAATGAAACCCCTCCTTACTCTCTCAAGCCACTTCTGACCTGCTTGGGGGTCTGGCCCCACTCCCCATAGAAATCCTCATTATGTGAGTAATCAATCTTGTCATAGTCTCTTGGTGTGGGCAGCCTCATCAGTCTTCACATCTGAATCAAATTTTAAGTGAAGATTTGACCCCATAGTGGGGCAACCACAAAACACACTCCTGACAGCAGCACACGAATTGCACCTGGCTCACACCTGGCTAAAACTTGGCATTATCAGACTTTAAACCTTCTGCCAGTCTTATGGCAAACATGCTGTGAAATAAAAACTATGTATACCTATATATCTATTACTGCCCCCTGGTTGTTGGCACAAAGCTCCTAAAACCCTTGTAAATAGGGTCTATAGGGGTGCCAGGGACATGTGGTTCTCCTTACAGTTGGTGTCAGGGAAATAGGATTTGCTAGAATGGACTTCACTGACAGAAACATGGTTTGGGAAGAGAAAGGGGGAAAAGGTGGGTGATGAGGAGCCTCTGAGTCCTAGTGGGCATGTGGTCCCCCATGTGGTAGGGAGCAGCAGCTTTTCTGCATCCAGTGACTCAAGGTAAAAGTTACCAAAGGAATGTAGAGATCCATCCAGCTCCCTGAGAGCTGGTTCACTGGATGCATAAGGAAATGCAAACTAGTAAGAAAAAGACAAAATATTCAATCCCTTGGTTATTCGTAATGGTTAAATACAATTAAAAGAGAAGGCTGGGACAACCCTTGGTGCTAGACAAGCTCAGAGACTTTGGTGAGTCTAAGCTTTGGCCCATTGCCTAAAAGCCACGCCCACAGGGAGAAGTTACCCAACGACAACAGAAAGTACCTCTGAGACCTCTGCTTGCTGAGGAGGTAGTCGATGTAGGGGAGGGCAGAACCGAGGAGCCACTGAAACCGGGGGCCAGCGCGAAGGGGTTGTTTCCTTTCATAGATCACTATCATCGGCTGGCTGAGGAGCCCTTACTGACACAACTGTGAGAGTGATTCATGTGGGGGCCGTGCCTTTGGCTGTGGATGCTGCAGAGTGAAAGAGCACACTGGGGTGAGTCAGGACCTACAGCTCTCTATTAAACAATCACAGATGGCTGCACATGATCCAGACACGTGGGAGGGAAGAGCCAGCCTGGCAGGTGGGATAAAAGCCACTGTAAGGTCCATTTGCCCCAAGGAGGGCTGTTCGCTTCCCCCTACAAATGCCAAGTGGAGCACCCCAGATGATGCAGCGGATGAGCTCTGTACATAAGCCACTCGGGACCGGCCTTAGCAGGGACAGTCACCCACTGAATATGCTTCTTACCCAGACACGGTAAATGCTATGTTTAAGGGATGCCCTTCACTTGATGGGATGAGCACTGGGTGTCTTACTATATTTTGGCAAATTGAATTTAAATTTAAAAAATGTAAAAAAAAAAATAAGGGATGCCCTTTTGGATAGGGCAGTTTGGGAAATCTTATTACATTTGCTGTCTCTACTTCCTCTCATGGGTAAAAGTAAAAATGTGGAGCCCAGCTGGCTCAGTCAGTAGGGCATGAGACTGTTGATCTTGGGGTTGTGAGTTTAAGCCCCATATATAAGAGATTGCATGAAATTTAAATTTTTTTTAAAGATTTCATTTATTTATTCATGAGAAACACACAGAGAGAGGCAGAGACACAGGCAGAGGGAGGAGCAGGAAGCCCGATGCAGGACTTGATCCCCAAACCAGGATCACACCCTGAGCCAAAGACAGCGGCTCAACCACTGAGCCACCCAGGTGTCCCCATTATCTGGCTACTTATGTTGGTTTTCCACATCGGTCTTTTTTTATCATTGAGGTGAAATACACACGCATGAGCCCTGCCATCTCGATCATTCTTCTGTGGTACTGATGCCATTCACATCTTGCTGCAGCCATCAGCCCCATCACCCCTGGATACCTCCTCAGCTTCCCACATGGAGACTGTCCCCATTAAAGACCGACTCGCCCCTCTCATCCCTTGGCCCCTGGTACCCACCATCTACTCCCTGTCCCTGTGGTTTTCATGACACTAAATACCTCATTAAAGTAGAATCTTACAGTATTTGTCTGCCATTAGGTCTTTTCAGGTATAGTTTCTGTTGGTTTATTTTTTCTCCCTTTGAGTGGGCCACATTTTCCTGTTTCCTTGTATGCCTTTTTTGGGTAAAGATTTGTTTCTTTTAGGTAGGGGAAGGGCAGAGGAAGAAGGAGTGTAGACTCCCTGCTGAGCATGGAGCCCAACGCTGGGCTGGGTCTCATGACCCTGAGAGGGTGACCTGAGCCAAGTCAAGAGTGGATGCTTAACCGAGCCACCCTGGCGCCCCTGCTTTTTTGTTTGTTTAAGATTTCATTTATTTGAGACACAGAGAGAGAGAGAGAGAGAGAGAGAGAGAGCATGAGGACAAGTGTGGGAGGAGGGGCAGAGGGAGAAGCAGATGCCGCACCAAGCAGGGAGCCCAACCTGGGGCTCGATCCCAAGACCCTGGGCTCATGACCTGAGCGGAATCAGATTCTCAACCGACTGAGCCACCCAGGTGCCACCTCCACCCTTTTTATTTTTTATTTTTCTCTCCACCTTTTTTTCCCCTCCACCCTTTTTTTTTCACACCCACCGCGGGGCTTGAAGTCATAACCCGAAGATCAAGACTCACCTGCTGGGGTGCCTAATCTCAGGGTTGTGAGATCAAACCCCACCTGGAACTCGGCACACAGTCTGCTTGAGATTCTCTCTCCCTTTCCCTCTGCCACTCCCCACTGCGTGCTCTAAAAACAAACAAATAAATACAATCTTAAAAAAAAAAGTCACCTGCTCCACCTACTGAGCCAGCCAGCCGGCATTGTGATTGTTTGGTGGCATACTAGACAGCTGAGTCTAATAATGCCATAGATCGGGATCCCTGGGTGGCGCAGCAGTTTGGCGCCTGCCTTTGGCCCAGGGCACGATCCTGGAGACCTGGGATCAATTCCCACATCAGGCTCCTGGTGCATGGAGCCTGCTTCTCCCTCTGCCTGTGTCTCTGCCTCTCTCTCTCTCTCTCTCTCTCTCTGTGACTATCATAAATAAATTAAAAAAAAAAGAAAACATTAAAAAAAAATAATGCCATAGATCTGGACACCAGAGTCTCCCTCCCCCTTTGTTATTGTGCTTGTTGAGTGGTTTTGTTTTTTGCAGGTGTTGCGGGCAGTCTCTGTGCCTGGGAGCAGCCTGCGGGGCACGCTTGGGTCTTGTCTGAGCCCTTCCTTGGACAGGTGCAGTTGCTTTCTCACCAGCACCCCCCCCAACACACACACACACAATTGTTTTGTGTCAGTGTGGTTTTTGGGGGGCGGGGTGGGGGGCGGGGTGTTTTTTTAGCTGACCTGTGTAAGTTGAAAGTGTGCAACGTGTGGATCTGACACATTAATACACAGCGACGGGGCTACTGCTGTGGCGCTAGCAGACACCTGCAACACGCCACATCATGATCATTTCTTTCAGGTGGTGAGAACACGTCAGATCTCGTCACCTGGCAGCTTTGCAGTTTGTAAGGCCGGACTGTTGACGCCTGTGCCTGTACTGGACATTACCTCCCAGGACTTACTAATCCACTAGTTGCAAGTTCGTGCCCTTACACAGCATCTCCCAGCCCCACTCCCCCACCCCCCCCACCCCTGGTTACGGCCATGCTACTCTAGTCTCTGTCTCTATTATATGCAGTTGTTTTGAATGTTCTAGTTTTTAATATCTGGCTCCTGAAAGCAGGAAAGTGAACAATGAAGGGGGAATAAAGTCTCTGGCCCTTGGAATCTGCTGGAAGTCACCTCAGCGGGAGACAGGGGCCTGCCAGGGTTGGGGGAAGGCCCCAGCGGCTGCCCCCCTCCTTGCACCTCTGTGCTGAGATTCCTGGTCCCTGGAAGACAGCGGCCTTCTCCCCCACCCGAGTTCCCACGAGCTGCGGGGGGCTGTCTGCGGGTGGTGGCCAGAGGCTGCTACTGTGCTGAAAGCTGAAATTGGTGGCGGTTGGCCCTCCCTAGCCTCCCTGGAAGTTGTAAGCTGTCCAGGGGACTCTAGAGTTCCAAAAACAGTTTACTTTTGACAGATTCTATTTGTGCAGTATTTGTCCCGGTGGAGAGACAACTCCCAGGGCTTCTTCCTCTACCGTCTTCCCAGAATCTTCTCTGATCCAAGGCCTCTCGCAAGAGTGATTGGGGCGGAGAAGAGAAGCTCCCTGGACTCCTTGACATAGGAGCCCCACGCACTGTGGCACCAAAATCCCCCTGGTGAAACCCTGCCTTGGGCTACAAGTACATAGGATGTAAAAATGTAAGCGCTGGTTAAGGCCATAAAAGTTGGAATGTTTGGGCAGGCGTGATGTAAAGAGGTTCTGCTCCATCTCCTTTACTTAATGTTTTATGCAAATGAATATTAAGTCATACTAGGAAACACGCCCCCTACTTAGTATTGTAAAACCAAAACTCACGGATGAGGGGCGCCTGGATGGCTCAGTGGCTGAGCATCCATCTTCAGCTCAGGTCATGATCCCGGGGTCCTGGGATTGAGTCCTGCGACGGGCTCCCTGCTCAGCAGAGTGCCTGCTTCTCCTCCCCCTCTGCTGCTCCGCCTGCTTCTCCTCCCCCTCTGCTGCTCCCCCTGCTTGTGCTCTCTCTCTTTCTGTCAAATAAATTAATAGATAAATATATTTTTTTAAAAAACCTAACCCTGTAGATGAAGCCTCCTGTTAGGAGGCTAACAGGAATGTAAGGGTGGGTGGAATTAAGATAAAAGTATAGGAATTGGTATGTTGGAACAGGTGTTATGTGCAATGTTTGAATTTCTTAAACCAGATTGTGTTTTAGGGATGGGCATCATGTCTGACCGGGACGTTTCCTCTACCTACTACTGTAAATAAAGTAGGAGGCATCAAGCCCGGAAGCCATGGAGGAGAGGCTGGAGCGCAGCGAGGGACCAGCTCCCTGTTTCAGGCCCCTGCAGGGTGTAGACCAGCACCAGCCTGCGCACGCCCTCCAGCAACGGTCACTAGGACTTTGGACTCAAGCATTTTCCATTCCAGGGGCATTTTCTACCTTGCTCCCCGACAGATACTGAGGCTACCCTGGGGAGGACTTCAAATGACCTTGGAGCTGTATGCCAGTGTTGTCTTGGTAATGTCAGAGAAACACTCTAATGGGGACGGCAGTGCCATGAGAAAGTGAAAATGGTTTCTATGGGACCATGCCGGGGCGCCTGGGTGGCTCAGTGGTTGAGGTTCTGCATTGGGCTCAGGTGGTGATCCCAGGGTCCCGGGATCCAGTCCCGCATCCGGCTCCCTGCAGGGAGCCTGCTTCTCCCTCTGTCTGTGTGTCTCTCATAAATAAATAAAACCTTAAAAAAAAAAATAAGGAGCTGCTGGATGCTGTCGTCCCTTGGACGGTGCCCGTAACCTGCTCTCCGCTGACCAACAAAGAGCAGCTGGCTCTGCAAATGGCCGCTCGGAAGTGAACGGACACATCCTGTTTGGAAGGCAGGCACTGCGCTCAAGGAAGGTACAAACAAGTCAGTTCGGTGGGCTGAACTGCGAGCTGTTTTTCCAGCTGTGAAGGAAGAACTGAACGGGGGTAAAAGCCCTTAGGTTTGGAAAAAAAAAAAAAGCCCTTAGGTTTGGTGTCTACTGACTCAGGCCGAGGACACTGGCAGCCTGGCCTAGTAAAGAGGCGCCCTGTGCTCAGGACCCTCCAGGACTTCATCTGATGTATCTCTTTATCTGTTTAGCTGCATCCTCTGCTGTATCCTTTACTGCATAATAGGCTGGTGCACCTGTTTCTCTGAATCCTATGACTTGTTCTAGCAAATAATTGAATGGGGGGGGGGGACAGGCTCAGGGGAACCTACAATTTGTAGCCAAACTGCCAGAAGTTGTGGGTAACCAGGGGACCTATTACTTGTGATTGGCGTCGAAGTGGGGGGCGCGGGGTGTCCAGAGGGACTGAGCCCTTATCCTCTGGGGTCTGTGGTAACTCCAGGGAGTGTCAGAATCCAACGAGTTGCAGGACACTCAGCTGGTGTCCCAAATAATTTTTTGATATTGAAGAAAAACCATACACATGTCTAGTGTGGGAGGCCTCTGAGTGTCCTAGTCTGAGAGTGAAGGAGAAAGGGCAGGAGAAGTGCAGGCCTTTATTACACATGGGATTTACCGTGGAGTGCACTGTGTCCTCACCCCACACTCCCCAACTGCTGTGTTGAAGTCCTAACCCCCAGGGCCTCAGCCTGTGGCTGTTTTTAGAGGCAGGGCCTTTACAGAGGCCACGAAGGCCAAACGAGGCCGAGGCCGTGGGGGCGACCTGACCTTGTCCTGACAGTTTGAGGAGATGCGGGTGCCCAGAGGCAGCAGGGAGGGGAACTGGGCATAGAGGAAAGACCACGACAAGAGGACAAGCCCTGGGAAGCACCCCCTTCAAGCCACCTGCACGCCCAGGAGAGGGACTGAAATGGCAGGAAAAACCACCCTTGGGGCACCTGGATCTTGGACTTCCAGCCTCCAGAAATAAATTTCCGGCGCCCAGTGCGTGGTATTTTGTTAGCGCAGCTGGCGTCGACGAATACAGGATTTCAATGTTTTAGTTTGTATCTCCAGCTCGCTAATCCCGCTCGTTATTTATTTTGTCTAAAACACAGGGTGCCTCACCGCTGCCGGCTCCAGAGACCGAGCTATTGCACTCGCACGCAGCTCGCCCCCCGCCCGGAAGCCTCCCCTCCCGGCCCCCTCCTGCCGCCTTCCAGCCCGGGGCTTCCCCGGCGGGGCGGGCCGTGGCTCCGCGGGTCCCCAGGCTCCGCCGGGTGCAGCGCGTCACCGCTCCTCCGTGCTGCGCTCCTGCCCGAAAGGCCGCTCCCGCCCCGCGCCCGGTCCTGGGGGGCCGCACCCAGCACCTGCGGGAGGCGGCGCGGTCTCGGGGCGGCCGGGACCCCCGCGACCCCGGGCTCGGGGGACGAGGGCGGGGAGCCCCGGGGCGCAGCACCGCGCACAGCCGGGCACCGGCAGGGCGCAGCACCGCGCACAGCCGGGCGCCGGCAGGGCGCGCGGGGAGGCGGCCCGGGACCCCGCGGGGGAGGCGAGCGCCCCAGCCTCCGGCCGGCCGCCGCGGGTGCTCGGGGCTGGGCGGCGGGGGCGCCCCGGAGCCTCCCCTCCCCGGGGCCCGGCCGAGGCGTGCGGAGAAAGCAGAACCGAGCCGGGCCGCGGGGAATCCCAGCGGACCCGCTTCTGGGAAGAGAAACTCGCGGGCGCGGCGGGCGCACCGGGGGCGGGGGCGCCAGGCTGCGGTTCCTCTCGGGAGCGCCGCGACTGGGCTCTCGGGGTCCGGGGCCGCCGGCCGGCTCCCCCCGGCTCGCGGGGGTCCGAAGCCCGGGCCACTGCCCCGCCGCGCCCCGCCGCTCATCCGGTGCCGCAGCCCTGCCCCGCCCGGGAGGGAGGGGCCGCCCACGGCGCACGGGGGCCGGCGGGGCCGGCCCGGGACCCAGAGGCCGCCGCGCACTCGGTGCTGCAGCTCCGCGCCCCCCGCGCCTCCTCAACGGTCCCCGGCCCCCCCGCGGGCATGCTGCGGCTCCTGGCGCTGCTGCTCTCGGTGCTGCCGCCGCCCGCGCGCGCCCGGGAGCCCTCGGCGCAGGACGTGAGCCTGGGAGTGGTGAGTACCGGGGTCTGCGGGCTCTCGGGTCTGCGGGGGGCGGGGGTACTGATTCAAAGAGGGACTGGGGTTGCAACCTGGGGACCCAGATTCTTGGACCCATCAGGCTGGGGGCCGGGATTGGAAGATCTGTAGAGGCGCAAGGGCGGGGAGGTAGAGCACAGGACTGTTGGGTCGGGACAAAACCCAGGGCTGGAGAGGCCAGACTGAGAGGCAGCAGGCAGTCACCGGGGCAGGGGCCCCTGGGCTCCGGATGCCTGGGTGCCTGGCGAGAGGTGGGGCTTCCTGGATGTGGGTGGGAAGGGTCGCCCCACTCATCCCGCTTCCCCAATCCCTCTGTGGCCTAGGACTGGCTGACCCGCTATGGCTATCTGCCGCCACCCCACCCTGCCCAAGCCCAGCTGCAGAGCCCTGCAAAGCTGCAGGATGCTATCAAGGTCATGCAGAGGTTTGCCGGGCTGCCTGAGACGGGTGTCCTGGGTAGGTAGACCCCCGCCCTCTCCCCAGCCCTGCTTCTGTTCCCAGCCTGACCATTAGCCGGAGGTTTCTAAACCTCAGCATCACCTGAATCACAGGGGCTAGGAAATGCTGATCTTGGGGCCCAATGCATCAGGTTCTCAAGCATTCCTTTTTCAATAAATATTAACTAAGAATCTCTTACTTGTAAGGCCATTTCAGGCTCTGCTGGTGTAGTGATGAACAAAGCAGAAAAGGCCCCTGCTCTCGTGCACACACACACACAGATCAAGAACAGAAATATGCAAGATAATTTCAGATAGTGATTCATGTTTTGAGGAAAATAAAATGCTAATCAGGGCAGATGTCTCTGAAAGGTGTCATGGGTTGAGAGGAGTTCATATGACACAAAGAACTCATAGGACACAAAAAGGAGGAAGCCAGCCTTGGGAAGATGTAGGAAAAGTGTCCCAGGCAAATGCAAAGGCCCCGTGGTCAGCACAAGCTGGTGTTCCTGTATTGAGACGTGGATTGAAAAGCAAGAGCCTGATGGGGGATAGGGGGGTGATGCTTGAAAGGTGTTTGGTTTTGATTACAAGCATGATAAGAAACCACCAGAGGGTTTGAAGGAGGAGGCAATTGGGTTGGATTTACAGTTGTAAGCTTCCTATGGTTGCTGATGGAGAATGGAGGGTGGGAATGGAGACCAAGAAGGAGGCAGTTGAATCCAGGGTGCATATTTTGGAGGTAGATCTGAGAGGCTCATCTGTTGGGTTAATGAGGAAGAAGAGAGTTGGGGGGAGGGTGGCCAGCTACAAGGGAGGAGGGACCTTTCTCTGTCCTGTCCACTGCCGAGTAGTGTCTGGCATCTGCATGTGCTCCAGTACTCTTTGTCACCTCAACCAATGAGGTGAGGTTTGACCTTCGTTTGAAGATGAGGGGACAGCTGGGAATGGAGCTGAGCTAGGAAGGGGGATTCCAGGCCGACCTAACCTGGGAAACCAGAGACCCAGCCAGCCTGGGGACTTTGGACTTAGGATGTGGTGAGGATTAGGGCCCCACGGTGTGAGGTATGGGCAGACAACCTCCTGGGGAGGCTCCAGCCTCAATGAGAGGAGTCTGCACTGCACCCCTGTGGCTCCTTTCTCCAGAGTCTAATTACCACGGCTCAGGGAAGCAGGACCCCCAGACCCCAGACCTGAGCACCACAGGGAAGCAGCTAGTTCATCCAGGGCCAGGTGAAGAGGGTGACGCTGCCCTGAAGAGCAGGGTCATGGTTTGGTATGAGCTCACAGAACTGGACAGCCTGTGTTCAAAGCCAAGCTGGGGGGCCCTTCCTGCACAAGTTTTTTTTAACCTCACTGAGCCTGTTTGTCCGTGTAGGAAGCCAGCTGGCACTACGACTAGGGCAGGTTGGCCTACCACTGATCCCCTATCCCCACGACCTCTCCCACAGACTCAGCAACGATGGCCACCATGCAGAAGCCCCGCTGCTCCCTGCCTGATGTGCTGGGGGTGGCAGAGCTGGTCAGGCGCCGCCGCCGGTATGCTCTGAGCGGCAGCATGTGGAGGAGGCGAACCCTGACGTGGAGGTAGGTCCCAATGGCCACCCCCCCACCCCCGCCTGCCTGCTGGACCCGCCTGGAACGAATGCCTTCTGTCTCCCCAGGGTACGCTCTTTTCCCCAGAGCTCAGCACTGACCCAGGAGACCGTGCGGACCCTCATGCACCACGCCCTGACCACGTGGGGCGTTGAGTCAGGCCTCAAATTCCAGGAGCTGGTTTCTCAGGCCCCAACGGAGCCCGACATCCTCATAGACTTTGTCCGGGCATACCACCAGGACAGTTACCCCTTCGACGGGCAGGGAGGTACCCTAGCCCATGCCTTCTTCCCCGGGGAACACCCCATCTCTGGGGACACTCACTTTGATGATGAGGAGACCTGGACTTACGGGTCAAAAGGTACAGTCTCCGCTGTTTGGAGAGGTCCTCTCCCCTGGCCTGTCTGCCCTTATGAATTTGGTTTAAGTCACACATATCGATGGAGGCTGTATCAATTGGGCTTCTCCAGGGAAACAGAACCAGTAGGATGTATGTAAGTGATTTATTTTGAGGAATTGGCTCACAGGGTTGTGGAGACTGGTAAACCCTAAATATACGGGACAGGCCTGCAGGCTGGAAAAGCAAGTGAGAGTTGATGTTGCAGTCCTGAGTCTGACATCTTCAGGGCAAGCCGGCTGGCTGGAAACTCAGGCATTATTTCTGTGTTGCAGTCTTGAAGCAGAATTCCTTTTTCTCTGGGAAACCTTAGGTTTGGTTCTTAAGGCCTTCAACTGATTAGACAAGGCCTACCCACCATGGAGCAGGATCTGCTTTGCTTACAGTCAACTGATTGTAGATGTTAATCACATCTACAAAATAACCTACACAACAACATCTAGACTGGTGTTTGGCTAAACAACTGGACACCATAGTGTGGCTAAGTTGGCACAGAAAATTACCCATCCCTGAGGCTTCTCAGGCATCCAGCTCTGAGCTGAGCACTTTAAGAGGGGAAAACAGCTTCTTTTAGCAGCTGAGTCACAAGAGTAACCAGCAGTTGCTACACACAGTGACACAACTGCGGGGAATCCTAGCAGAGGAAGTCCTTTGGTCTGTGGTACTCAGAGCAGAGGTGTACCCAAAGCCTTTGACTGATGGGGTTTTCTAAATGTGGTGGCTTTGCTTATCCCCCATGTGTATACTGAGGGCCGAGTAATGCACGAGGTCTTGCTCTACTGGAGTACGTGGAGCCATGGGGAGGACACAGAGAAAAGTGCAAGCCAATGAGCTCGCTGAGTCCAGAGTCATCAGGGGTAGGAGCACAGGGGGCATCTGGGGCTGGAAGGCTGAAATACAGTGTCAGGAGGAAGACTGAGGATGGACGGTGGGTTTCACAACACAGAGGGCCTTGTCAGCGCGGGGACAGACGGGGCAGGGTGGGGAAAGGGAATGGGAGCCATGGAAGGTTCTGCATTGTGGAGATACCACTGGCCACAGCAGGGGGTGGGGGGTGGGGGGTGGAGGGGGGGGCAAGATAGGGGGAAGGAGGCTGGAGGTTGATACAGGGTCCTGGAGAGAGATGATGTTGGGTGATGGGGGTCAGGGGGCAGTTTAGTCAGGCTGGGCAAAGCTTGGGATCTGACTGGATCCTGGGGGCAGAGGGGATGGGGAGGAAGGGGTAATGGCTAGGTTTCTGACTTGGAGCCCCTGGAGGAGCAAGATCAGGCTCTGGGAAGGCAGAGGAGAGTTTCAGTTTGGCTCTATGTCTGCAGCGCTTGCGGGCCGTTGAGTGTGGGCAGTGCATTAATGGTTGAGTGTCTTGCCCCAGAACTGGGACTTCTCTGACTTAGGTCAGGTTCCCCATAAGTGGAGCTCGAGATGAAAATTCTTGTGCAAGCGGTTTCTCAGGGTATGTTCTCTGGGGAACGGGAAGCAAGAGCAGGCTGGGAAATGAAGCTAAGTCAGGATGCGGTCTCAGCTGAGAGGAGCCGGACCCAGCTCCGGCGGGGAGCGTAAACAGTGAGGGGTCCACTCTTCCACCTACTCAGCCATCCTACTCAGCCATCCGCCTGTGGCTGTGGGGAGGCTGGCCAGGGGGGAAGAGCCATTTTCTGGGGAAGGGAGCAGCCAGGGGATGGCAAGCAGGCCCTGCAAGGCTGTGTGATGCAGCACTGAAGCACCGCCTTGAAGCACTACTCAAGTCAGGGCTCCTCTGCTCACTACCGGTTTAAGTTACTTGACCTCCATGCACTCAGTTTCCTCATCTGGGAAATGGGAATTATAACAGTACCTGGAGGCAGGGTGGGCTTGCGGGTTAAAGAAGTAATTCACCCACAGCTGTTAGCACAGGGCCCCACATGCGGTAGCACTCCGCTTTCCCCCGGCTGCTAGGACCTGGACCTGGGGGCACACAGGGCGGTTGGCAAGGTTCTGGGAGGACAATGTAGGACGTGAAGGTCAGGTACGGAGCTGTGGAGAGCCCCATGGTTAAGGAGAGGGTAGAAGGAAAGGAGGAATCAAAGGAAATGGAGAAAGAACAGGCCCACAGGTGATCAAGAACAAGACTGAAGAGGCAAGCAGGGGGCAGTGGGCAGGGTGGCAAACCATTCCAGTATGTAACATAGGCCTGGACTGGGTTATCTGGGGACAAAGTGACTTTGGTGCCTACAGACTTGGCAGGTGGAGGAGGAGTCCTGACTGCAGCAAGATTAGGCGTGAGAGGGACTGAGGAAGTGAAGACTGGGTTTAGACCGCTGACCACAGAACTCACTAGGGAAGGGCTGTGGATGGGGGCAGATAGGTACTGGGGTGTCTTAGGATGAGGGAGAAGTGAACCCTTGGTGATGCTGGGTGAGAACAGAAAGAAAGATAATGGGGGATGGATGAATGGATTCATGCATGGATAGATGGATGGACAGAGGGATGGATGGAGAGATGGACGGATGGATGGATAGATGGGGCCTCCTTGTCCTTGAGGTAAGTGAAGCAGGGTCCTTGCATAGGGCAGGAAGGGGAGGAGGCAGGAGGTGAGCTTGGGGGAGGTGGCCCTATCTGCCCAGGCACACAGGAAGTTACAGATTGCATCGCATGGCCTGTCTTGATGAAATAGGAAATAGATTTGTCAGCATTTGTTATCTAAGAGTTGAGGGGCAGAGCTGGGGAGCAGCTTGAGCAGCTGTGGGCCTGAAATTGAGACCGGTAGAGAGAGCAAAGGAGCGGACAGGAGGTATCAAGGACCCCCGAAGACTGGCCCCTAGGGGAGCTCTCGTAGGCAGGGGTTGCAGCTGTGCTTTCCCAGCTACAAAGTACAAGAAGGCTGCAAGGAACGGTGTGGCCAAAGGAGAGGCAAAGCAGGGAAGGAGGGTGAGAGATGAAAAAGACCTACCTGATGTAGACACTGAGCTTCCTCCAGCTTCTCAGAAAAAGCATTCAGGGCAATAAGGAACCCACAATCCACGCAGAAATTCATCACTACAGTTGACCAAGATCATCTGAAGTTGCTGCTGAAAGGCAGGATGATCCAGCCAGAGTACCTGGCTAGCCCGTCATTTCACTTGATCTCCCTGTGCCTCAGTTTCCCACCTGTCAGATGAGGACAGACGGAAGAGGTTTTATGAGAGGTGAATGAGGGCAAGAACTTGCTACGTTTCCTAAGACTCACTCACGTGAGTCTCTTATACTCCCATCCAGCGGTCCTTAGGGCTGAGAGAAATTTGCATTTCAGATCACCAGGTCGCTCCCAATAAACCCACTTTCCACACTGCTGGCCGAGTTAGAGATTTCCCTGCAGGAGATCTACATCTGTGGAAATGGTGCTTCCTTGGGCGGCCGCTGGCCGCTGGCCCATCTTGCTGCCTTGCTCTCTTGGCCTCTCAGCGGTGCGAGCGGGAGCTGGCAGGTGGATCGATGAGGAGCTGGGACTGGGCCAGCAACTGGGAGCGTGAAGAGGCTCACTCCTGGCGCCCAGGCTGGGTCCCCAAGGAAGAGGCTGTGGCCACAGAGGCTGGGAAGGAGGCTGGCCGCCAGGGCCAGCCGGCTGTGGTCTGAGAGTGCCTGCCTGAGGAGGTGGATGAAGCTGCGGAGGCAGGGAGGCATCAGAGGACCTCAGGGAGGCCAGGGAGGGGTGGAGGCGGTGGGAACGGGGAGATGGGGGAGGGTCACAGAGGGCTGAAGGGATGGGGCACTGCAGAGGTGCCCATGGGAAGAGCAGGGGAGCACCATGAGGGTGGGAGCAAGGTCTTGGGAACTGAGGCCCAGGAGACTGAGCAACACTCTTCAGGAGTTCTGAGCACAGACTGGAGCCGGGAGGAGGGAGACTCCAAGGGCTGGGGCCTCCTCCAGAGAGATGCACGCACCCCCGGGTTCCTGATTCCCCTAGAGGGTTTCTGTGTGCACAGGCTCCCCTGCCTGGCAGCCAGCGCCACATCAGGAGGTCGCCCCTTCCTCTGTCCTCCTCCTGCCCCCTCCCTGCCCCCTCCTGTGGGCCTCTTCAGACCTTATCCCAGTGTCCAGAACTGCCAAACAAAGCTACTCGAAAAAAATCTACCCAATAAATGAACGAACACAGGAGGGACAAAATGGCTCATGGAATGGTCTGGGTTTAGCCATCCCTGGAGGGTCTCCTGGTTGTTCGCTCTGCCAGCAGGCCCCAGGTCAGATGCTTCCTGGCTGCCTTCTTCCCTGGTGTCCGGGAAGGGCACAGCTCTAGCCCAATCTCCCTCCTTCTCCAGATGGTGAGGGGACTGACCTGTTTGCTGTGGCTGTTCATGAGTTTGGCCACGCCCTGGGCCTGGGCCACTCCTCAGCACCCAACTCAATCATGAGGCCCTTTTACCAGGGCCCGGTGGGTGACCCCCACGAGTACCGCCTCTCCCAGGACGACCGCGAAGGCCTGCAGCAGCTCTATGGTACGGGACTGGGGCGGGTGGTTTGCCCCGTGGCCTCTGCAGCAGGGTCAGGGAACTCACGCCTCTCTGACTCTCTCCACAGGGAAAGTGCCCCAGACCCCATATGATAAGCCCACAAGGAAACCCCTGGCTCCTCCTCCCCCACCCCCCGCCCTGCCCCCGGACAGGTGAGTCCCTCTCCAGCTGTCTGACCTGGGGTGAAGTCCCTAACCTCAGTGTGCTCCTTGGTAGGATGGGGTGATGAGAGTCCCTACCTCATAGGACTGTCCTAACGGTTCAGCAAAAAGACTGGCAGCCCCGACCCGGCTCTGCTCAACCGTCCTTTCCTTTGTAGTCCCTCTCTTCCCATCCCTGACCGGTGTGATGGCAATTTTGACGCTATTGCTAACATCCGTGGCGAAATCTTCTTCTTCAAAGGTGAGTCGCTTCAGATCTCCCTTGAGCCCATAGAGTTGGCTTCCTACCCCCTTAGGATGACCCACCAAGCCTGCGGGGTTTCCCTGGACTTTCAGTGCTATTAAAAAAAAAAAAAAAAAGGCGGAGCCGCCGCACCCTTGGAACCCAGACGGACGTCCTCACCGGGGGAGCGGGACGCGCTCTCGCCGCCGCCTGACGCGCCCGCCCGCCCCGTTCCGCCGCAGGGCCCTGGTTCTGGCGCCTGCAGCCCTCGGGGCAGCTGGTGTCCCCCCGGCCGGCGCGGCTGCACCGCTTCTGGGAGGGGCTGCCCGCGGCGGTGGACGTCGTGCAGGCCGCCTACGCCCGGCACCGCGACGGCCGCATCCTCCTGTTCAGCGGTGAGTGCGCGAGGGGCGCGGCCGGGGCCCGCGGGGGGGCGGGGGTGGGGCGCACCTGCTGACCTGCCCGGCCTCTCAGGCCCCCGGTTCTGGGTGTTCCGGGACCGGCAGCTGGAGGGCGCCCCGCGGCCGCTCACGGCGCTCGGGCTGCCGGCGGGGGAGGAGGTGGACGCCGTGTTCTCTTGGCCGCTGAACGGAAAGACCTACCTGATCCGGGACCGGCGCTACTGGCGCTACGACGAGGCGGCGGCGCGCGCGGACCCCGGCTACCCCCGCGACCTGAGTCTTTGGGAAGGGGCGCCTCACGCCCCGGACGACGTCACCGTGAGCAACACAGGTGCGGCAGTGAGCGCGGAGGGCCCGGGCCCGGGGGCGTGGGGGGGTGGAGTCAGGGGAGACAGCCTGGACCGGCCCGACGTGCGCCTCCCTCCCCCGCAGGTGACACCTACTTCTTCAAGGGCGCCCACTACTGGCGCTTTCCCAAGGGCAGCGTCAAGGCCGAGCCCGACTCCCCGCAGCCCATGGGCCCCAAGTGGCTGGACTGCCCGGCCGCCAGCGCCGACCCACGCGCCCCCAGGCCCCCCAGGGGGACCCTGGCCCCCGGGACCTGCGATTGCCACTGCGAGATCAATCAGGCCTCAGGGCGGCCGTCGCTGTCCTTCGAGGTGTCCCTTCTGGCCCTGCTGCTGGGCGGCGTCGCCTCCGTTTGAGGGGGACCGGCTCCTCCGCGGGTCTGGGGGCGCGGGGGGGGTCCTGAATGGCCGCGGAGGCGCATCCTCTGTTCCACCGGCGGGCGGGCAGCTGGGAGCTGAGCCCCGGGGACGGGGACGGGACAAACGGCTGGCCTGTAGCCTGGACCGGTCACCTGCTCCGCCCGGCCTCCCCCCGCCCCACTCCCCACCCCCGCCCGCGCTTCTACCGCAGGACGCTCCCTTTCCCGGAAGAGCTGGTGCTTCTCCGAGCTCCAGGGACGTCCCTCAGCACCCGCCTGGCGACAGCCCCTCGCAGGAGCGGTGGGGGCGCTTCGGCTCTGGAGGGATGGCCTGAAGGTCTCCACCCGCTGCTCCGGGGTTCCCAGGACGGCCCTACCCTGTGCCACAGCCGCGACGTCCCCCAATGCGGCACGGATGGGGACTCCAGACCCAGCCCTGGGACTGCCCCTGAGCGCCCACCTCTTGGGTGACATCAGTGGCCACCCGGATGGCCCTCCACAACCTGAGCCTCAGGACCTCCTTTCTGTACCCAGAACTGTCCCCGTTTGACAGAACCCCCTCCGATCCCTCAGATCCTCTCAATACCATCACCCTGGAGTGTCGGCCACTTCCCTCAAGGACAGCTCCCAGACTCCTCAGCTCAGTGCGCTGGGAAGCCAGTGGACTCAATTCCCCTCAATCCAGAGCCACTGCTTCCTTAACACCCTCACCCACCTCCTTCTCCACAGAATCCAGGATCTAAATCAGTGCCTCTGGAACAATACTTCTGGAATATTCCACATCAGAATCACCTAGGGAATTAAAAAATGCAGACCCCATGCCCTTCCCTGAATTCCTCTGATGGTGGGTCCAGGAGTCTGCATTTTAGTAAGCTTGGGGGCTGCGTGGCCCTGATGGGTAAGGGATCTGGGACAGCAGCTGTCATCCCAGTGTTGTGATTTCCCTGTGTCTCTGCCCGGTCGCCCTCCCAGGGGCGAACCTCTTCACATTCTTGGTAGGGTCAAGCTGATGGCCCTGGTTGAGCAGGGTGGAGCCACTTAGCGAGGACTTCTTGGGTTTCCATCCAGCCCACAGGGCTGCGTGGGGCGGGGGCTGCCTGCCATTGGTCACAAGAAGCTGAACAGTACCAGGGGTCTTCAACTGGTACATCACCTGGGAATTGTAAGTGACCAGAAAACCAGAAATCTGGGCCTCTGTCGGGATCCTTTCAAAATATGTGGAGGAGGAAACTTTTATTTTAAAAGCTTATGAACCCCACACAGGAGGACAATGAAAATAATTGGAGAGAAAGCCTTTCATTACTTCTGAGCACAGATGGACCTGGGTTGAGTCTGGCAGCAGGAACTTGACAGACCCAAATTGCTATGTTTTGTAGAGGAACTTGGGGTTCAGAGTTGATGGGCAATGGGGTGGCAGATGGAGAGAGAATGTGTGGCAGAAGGAAGCAGAGAGTAGGGCGCCTGCATGGCTCAGTCAGTTGGGCATCTGCCTTCAGCTCACGTCATGATCCCGGGGTCCTGGGATCCAGCCCCACGTCGTAGGCCCCCTGCTCAGCAGGAGCCTGCTTCTCCCTCTCCCTCTCCCATTCCCCCTGCTTGTTCTTAGTCTCTCTCTCTCTCTCTCTTTCTCAAATAAATAAATAAGTAAAATCTTTTTTTAAAAAAAGAATGAAGCAGTGAGAGGAACCCAAAAGTTGGCTGGGAGAGCACAGACGAGGGGCATCCAATGTGAAATCTGTGTCCACTATCATTGCTCCATGCAATTTCTTCTCCAGCCTTTAAAAATATATTAAGTATACTACAGACAAATGCCATGTCAAACTGATTAATTTTATTTTTTAAGTGGTATGGTTCCATAATCAAAATGTAAAACATTTGTGCTTCAGCGGAACCGCCATCTTTCAGTAATTTGCCAAAATGACCAACACAAAGGGAAAGAGGAGAGGTACCCTCTATATGTTCTCTAGACCTTTTAGAAAAGATGGAGTTGTTTCTTTGGCCGCATACATGCGAATCTATAAGAAAGGTGATATTGTGGACATCAAGGGAATGGGCACTGTTCAAAAAAGAATGCCCCACAAATGTTACCATGGCAAAACTGGAAGAGTCTACAATGTTACTCAGCATGCCATTGGCATTGTTGTAAACAAACGAGTTAAGGGCAAGATTCTTGCCAAGAGAATTAATGTCCGCATTGAGCATATTAAACACTCAAAGAGCCGAGATAGCTTCCTGAAGTGTGTGAAGGAAAATGATCAGAAAAAGAAGGAAGCCAAAGAGGAAGGTGCTTGGGTCCAACTGAAGCGCCAGCCTGCCCCACCCAGAGAAGCACATTTTGTGAGAACCAATGGAAAGGAGCCTGAACTGCTGGAACCCATTCCCTATGAATTCATGGCATGATAAATGTAAAGAAAATAAAATACCTCAGGATTGTAAAAGTGTTTCTCTTAATTGAGTAGGAGTGTGGTTGGTGTCCTTTCACTTAAAAAAATATTTAAAGCAAACTTTGTGTTCTAATTCATTGGGTGATGTTTTTATTCAAATTTAGTGGCTTTTTTTCTTGCTGAAAGGTGTGAAGTGGTTTATTGTACAAGAGAGTATACCTATTTGGTTAGAAAACTGCCAGGTATTACTTTGAAAATATTTATGGTAGTTGGGAAATAATCCCTTTAAATCCCTAAGGGAAAAAAATTTTAAACACATGAAAGGTTATCTATCACATTCATTACATTTAAGCTCAGGGAAGCTATGAGTGCTTGTAATTGTATCCTGTCTTAAATAGCTGTGTTTTGAGGATAAAGAAGTTGCCTTTGAAGTCAACTATTTAAAAATAGATTGTTTAAAGCACTCGGTCTGGTTCCTACCAAATTGTTTTCCCTGTCATTTCCTGTCACAATTTTCCTATACGGTGCTTTAGCCCTTAGGAAAACTTTGTTTTCTTGGAGGTGTTTTTTTTTTTTTTTGGAGGTGTTCTTTCTTACCCCAATTTCTTTGCACTTTCCTTTGCCTGAAATACCTACACTTTAAGTTGCTGAATTCCTGATTTTCATTTCATCTTGAGCGTCACAGGTGAAACTTCCCTGATAAGAGTATTTTAAGGAGAGGAATGAAAGTGCTCGGAATCAGGAGAAAAATTATTTCTGATTTGGGATAGTGGAATAAAGTCCTTATACCTGTTCCCACTTAAAAAAAAAATTGTGCTTCAGAGAGCACCATAAAAAAAAAAAAAAGACCACCCACAAAATGGGAGAATTTGTTTGCAAATGGCATATCTTGGATATTCTGGACAAGGGACTTGTATCCAGAATATATAAAATACACTTACAATTTCATAGTAAGAGGATAAATAACCCAGTTTAAAAATTGGCAAAGGGGGCACCTGGGTGGCTCAGTTGGTTAAGCGTCTATCTTTTTTTTTTTTTTTTAAGCGTCTGTCTTAGGCCCAGGCCATGATCTCAGAGTCCTGGGATTGAGTCCTGCATCAGGCTCCCTGTACAGAGGAGAGTCTGCTTCTCCCTCAACCCCCCCCACTTGTGATCTCTCTCTCTCTCTCATACGCTCCCCCCTCTCTAAAGTAAATAAATAGAATCTTTTAAAAAATAAAAATGAGCAAAGCATCAGAACAGACATTTCTCCAAGGAGGATACACAAGTGGTCAATAAGCACATGGAAAGATACTCCACCTGACTAGTCCTAAGGAGAATGCAAATCAAAACCACACTGGGATAGAATTTCACACCCAATAGGGTGGGTGGCTAGGCTCAAAGTGACACCAAGTGTTGATAAGGATGTGGAGAAATCGGAACCCTCGTACACTACTGCTGGGAAATTTGTGCTTTCTTAAAAGTTGAAACCATAGTTACCATATGAACCAGCCATTCCTCTCATCGGTGTCTCCACCTTAGGAAGGAAGAAGGAAGAATCAATCTCTACACAGAAACTAGTACATAGGGACGCCGGTGGCTCAGTGGTTGAGCGTCTGCCTTTGGCTCAGGGCATGGTCCTGGAGTCCCAGGATTGAGTCCCGCATCGGGTTCCCTTCGAGAAGCCAGCTTCTCCCTCTGTCTGTGTCTCTGCCTCTCTCTCTCTGTCTCTCATGAATAAACAAATAAAATCTTTAAAAAAGAAAGAAAGAAACACGTACATACATGTTTACAGCAGCAAGACTGATAATAACTGAAAGATAGAAACCACCCAAGCATCCCAGCAATAGGTGAAAGGATGCATAAGGTGGCATATCCATGCAGAACAAATTTCTCAGCCATCAAAAGGAACAAAGTTTCTTTTCTTTTTTAAAGATTTATTTACGGGCAGCCCAGGTGGCTCAGCGGTTTGGTGCCTCCTTCGGCCTGGGGCGTGATCCTGGAGACCCGGGATCAAGTCCCACATCGGGCTCCCTGCATGGGGCCTGCTTATCCCTCTGCCTGTGTCTCTGCCTGTCTCACTCTCTCTCTCTGTGTCTCTCATGAATAAATAAATAAAATATTTAAAAATATATAAAGATTTATTTATTTATTCACGAGAGACAGAGAGAAGTAGAGACATAAACAGGTTCCCAGCAGGGAGCCTGATGCGGGACTCATCCTGGATCCCAGGATCATGCCCTGAGCCAAAGGCAGATGCTCAACTGCTGGTGTTCCAGGAATGAAGTTCTGATTGATATCGCCACTCAGATGGATCAAAAATACTGTGCTAAGTGCAAGAAGCCAGATACAAAAGGTCACATGACTGTGACCATTTCCATGTGATTCTATTTATATGAAATCTCTAGAACAGGAAAACCCGGGGACGGATAGTAGATGAGGGGCTACCTAGGACTAGTGGGGATGGGGTTTGGGGATTGGGAAGTTCTGGCTAATGGGTAGAGGATTTCTATTTGAGGTAATGAAAATCTTCCAAAATTGGTTGTGGTGAAGGTGGAACAGTTCTGTGCATTGAGTTATTTATTTATTTATTTATTTATTTATTTATTTATTTATTATTGGGGTTCAATTTGCCAAAAGTCATCCACTTTAATGGGTGAATTGTATGTGAATTATTTCTCACTGGAACACTAAAGAGAATGGTAGAGTCCTCAATGAAGCAAAAATACCTTCAGACAGTAGTCTTTGTGAGCCAGTTGTGGAGGGGCCAACTGTTCCATGGGATCAGGGAGCCAGGCTTTCCCAGTTGAAGCCCAGAAATATTACAGGTAGGTGAAGCAGGAGCAGCTGTCTTCTGTCTTCCCATCTGGAATTTATAGATGGCTCAGGGAAGGGTCTGGACTCCTAGGTGTGCTTGATGGGCTCCTAGGGGGTGGGGAGACACCAGCCGAGGTCTAGTTAATGCAAGTGAGACTTTCACTGAGGAAATGTGCAATACAGTTCTGTCCTTCTGGTGGCCCCCTAGGAGCCCAGGTCCTCTTTGAGGGTATTAGGGGCTGAGTTGTGTCCCCCACAAACTCATATGTTGAAGTCCTTACCCCCAGCACCTCAGAATGCAACCTGATTTGAAGATAGGGTCTTTATAGAGGGAATCAAGGTAATGAGGCCATTGGATAGGCCCTAATCCAACAGGACTGGTGTCCCTATAAAAACGGGAGATTAGAGGACAGGCATGCATACAAGGACAAGGACTTGGACATGGAGACGGTTGTATGCGGGTCTGGGAGACAGGCCCTTCCCCCAAGGCCCTCAGAAGGGATACCTTGATTTCTACTTCCAGCCTCCAGAACTGGGAGAGAATACATTTCTGTATAGGAACCCAGAAGGAGGTACTTTGTTGTGCCAGCCCCGGGACACAATAGAGAGGGCAGACAGAGGCTGTGCTGAACTGGGAGGGGCTTTGGTCCCGGAGTGGGGTGAGGGAAGAGCAGAGGGTGAGCCTGGCTGTGTGAGAGGACCCCCAAGGGCCTGGCCAGGATCTGGAGGCCCCCTGCATGGGTGCCCGAGGGTTGCAGGACCATGACACCCCCCTACCTACCCCAGGCCTCAGGGGACCTCAGGATAGCCTGGTCAGCTGGGCCTAGGTCGACAGTAAGTCATCCTGAACCTCTCCTGGGGGCTTTACCCTGTCCCCTGGCAGATAGGCTCCCCTCCAGCCACCCCTGCAGGGACCCATGGGGCAGTCTGTTCAGGTACCTGGCCTGGTAGGCCCATGCTAGGTGGCTTGCAGCTCCTGCTATACCCTGGGCCAGTTGGTTCTTGGAAACTTCTCTGGACTTTGGAGCTGGGATACATTCCATTTCAAGTGACCCGGTCGGCATTCCCCAGGCCCTTGGCCCCCAACTGGATTACTTCATTTCACAGAGCTCAGCAGGCATCAAAATCTGCTTTCCCAAAGCCTAGACTTTCCCACCGCCCCTCGCCTGGCTCAGGCTGAGGATGAGGATGGGGAAGGCCTGTTCCCAGGCTCTGAGATCCCTGCCCTAGCTCAGAGTGAAGGGGCCACAGCAAGGGCCCGGGGCGCCCACCCCCACCCAGGCCCCTCAGTGTTCCTGTCTGACCTTTGCTTCCATCTCTGTGTGTCACACACACACACACACACACACACACACACACACAAACACTCACATCCCCATATCTTGCCTTTAGGACAGGCTCCACCCTCCCTAATCCCGCCCCCCTCCCTCCCACCTCCAACTTCTTAAAAGAGGGGCTCTCTCTAGAGCTCCAACCTTGTCTGGAGAAACAGCAAGAAGGTAACTGACTCAGTGGAGGCCGGGGAGGGAGCTGCAGCCAAAGGGACTTTCTGTGGGGGTAGCAGAGGGGCCGCTTCTCTTTTCCTAACATGTGTTCCTCCCCTTCAGGTCATAGCCCCTGGAGTCTTTTCCTAACATGTGTTCCTCCCCTTCAGGTCATAGCCCCTGGAGCCCTGAAAGATCAAACCATGCACTTGGCCAATGTAAGCTAGAGCGGCAGGCCGGGGTGGGGGGATGAGGGGGTGGGGGGTGGTATGTCTGGGTGATGGTGGTGGTAGGAGTGGGGGGGAGGGGGCGGGAGGGGAAGGGGGTCATGGGGGAACCACTTCCCTGTGGAGCATCCCTCCCTCCCACTGCGCTGGCCCCAGGCCTGCTGATCCCTCCACATGCACCTGGCTCTGTCCCATTCTCTGGGGCCAGTGGGGTATCCCACTGGGGAGGCAGGAGTCTGAGGCTCTCAACAGGGCCCCAGTCTCATAATGACCCTGACCTTGTTTGGTCGAATCTCTGCCCTCACCATCTGGAAATTCTAAGTAATTGTTGACAAAAAAAACTCAGTCTCATTTTGTTCTGAGTCATTCACTTTATACAGCAAGTCCTGATTGTGGGTGATTTTCTGTCTGGGGTGAGCTATGGGGGCAGCTCTGTGTGTGTGTCTTTGGTTGTGTGAGGGGCACTGAGAACAGCGCAAGCTATGGGACAAGCAGTTACTCTAGGAGTTAGACACCACATGTTTGTGGGGCAGCTGGAGGATGGAAGGTCCAGAGGGCCAGAAAAAGCACCAATCCCCAAAGACTCTATACCCTAGA